AGAACGCCGATCTATTTTGGGGGTTGCGAGGTGCAGGGTACAACTTTGGCGTCGTGATAGATTTCACCTACCAGGCCTATGACCAGAAAGATCCAGTGTACGCTGGCCTCCTTGGATTCGCTCCTGACAAGTTGGAAGGAATTATCCATGCATTAAACGAATCCCTGGCAAATCCCGACTCTCGCTTCGGTGCGATGTGCGTTTTTGCGTTGGCACCTGATGGATCTGGGCCGTTGATCATCGTGATTGGTTTCTACAACGGCCCACGCGAAGAAGGCCAGAAGAAATTTTCCAGCTTCACAGCCCTTGAGCCAGTTCTAAATACCCTTGATATGGTCCCATACTCTGTGGTGAACACATTACAGAACCCCGTAGCGACCTACGGTGATCGGAAGTCTTTCAAGGGCATTTTCTACGCGCCGCCATTGGATCCTCACTTTGCCAGGGTGATCTTCGATGATTTCATGGCCAAGATTGAGAGTGAACCAGATCTCAAGGCGTCTGCCATCATTCTCGAGTTTACCGATATGCGCAAGATTTGCGAAGTGCCGCTGACTGCAACCGCGCTGGCAAGCCGAAACCCTACTCAGAATGGTATCATCTTTTTGAGATGGACCGACTCCTCCAAAGATCTAGAACATCGCGCTTGGGCACGAGAAGTCCAGTCCAAGTGGAAAGTTGAGTCGGATGCCAGAACCAAAGATCAGGGTGTAGATTTGAGTGTGCCTCAGTACATCAACTACGCAGAACGTGAGTCCATTTCATCCAAAAATATTTGCACCTCGATAGATACTAACATTATACCTAGCTGGTGACTCTATGGTAAGCAATATCTACGGTGTAAACCTCGAGAGACTGCAGGAGGTGAAGGCGAAGTATGATCCAAAGAACGTTTTCCACAAAATGCAGCCTATTCCAACGGGAAAGAAATAGCATGAGCGAGGATTCAATGAATAAAAAAAGCGGTTGCTGGCCGGCTTTTTCTTGAAATAGTTTCCGGGACTTGTTCTCCGAGAAATTCCCGTTTTCCTTTGGTGTGACTGCACAGAAGGGTCTATATTGCAAGCACGTACAGTTATATTTACAACTAGGAGAATCAAGAGAACAAATTGCAACGAATTGAGGGATGATACGCCTATTCAGCCATACATGACACTCATAGCCGCGGAAGAATGTTATACTTCACAGCCTTCACAGTAGTCCAACCCTCGAGAGCATCCTCACCCATGTCTCGTCCAAATCCACTTTGCTTTACTCCCCCAAATGGAACATTAGGACTGAGCATCGCCCAGGCATTGACAGTCACTTGACCTGACTCAAGTTCCTTAATCACGCGATGAGCGCGGTTAACATCATTGGTAAAAATGGCCGCACTGAGGCCGTGATGAGAGTCATTGGCTTTGAAGATGACTTCCTCCTCCGTGGTAAACTTGGCAATACTCTGCAATTTGTGTCGGGATTAGTATTCAAAATTTAAAGAAATAGGCTTGCATGGAAGCTTGCTTACCGCAACAGGACCGAAGATCTCCTCGCGCATGATTGTCGTATCATCGCCCACGTCCGCAAAAGCGGTGTTTTCGACGAAATATCCCTTGTCACCAATCCGCTTACCACCAAATAGAAGCTTGGCTCCAGATTGCTTTCCTTGACGAATGAAGTCAAGAATCTTCTCATGCTGCACACGACTAACCACCGGCCCCTTTGTAGTAGAAGCATCCAAAGGATTACCGGCGACTGTCGGAGCATCAGCGGCGGCCTTTTTGTAAGCCTCGATGAATCTATCATAAATAGAGGCCTGAACATAGATACGCGATCCGGCCGCACATATTTGCCCGTTATTGGCCGTGATTCCAATCCGAGTCCAGAGAAGTGCGTTTTCAATATCGCAGTCGTCAAAGACAATAGACGGCCCTTTGCCGCCGAGTTCAAGACTGACTTTCTTTAGGTTGGTTCGGGATGCTGCTTGCAAAATTTTGCGCCCTGAAAGGTCACTACCAGTGAAGGCAATCTTGCGTACGTCCATATGTTCCGACAAAGCTTGGCCTGCGCTGGCGCCTTCGCCCGTAACGATATTGACAACCCCAGGAGGAATGCCGGCTTCCTTTACTAGCTCGGCAAGCTTCTGGGCGTATAATGGCGATAGCTCGGAAGACTTGATGATCAAAACGTTACCGGTAACCAGAGCAGGAGCCAGCTTCCAAATAGTGATCATCCTGAGAACGCGTTAGAAGTCTTTGAGGGTTCCAGGGTGAATACAGGTGGGACGGAAAAGCTTACAGCGGAGCATTCCAAGGCACAATCGCGCCACAGACACCTAAAGGCTCGCGATGGGTGTAGGCAATTCCACCATCTATGTCAAGTGTCTTGCCATCAATCTTCCCGGCCCAGCCTGCATAATATCGCAGACAGCCGATCGCCTGGGGGATGTTCATTCCGATCGAATCGGTATACAGAACGCCTGCATCAACGGCCTCTAGTGATGCCATATCTTTTGCATCGCGCTCCAGCAGATCTGCAAGTTTGAGCAATAGCTGGGCTTTGACGGGTCCAGGAACTGTTCTCCATGTTTTGAAGGCTGACTTGGCAGATTCTACAGCCTTATTGATATCCTCCGGGCCTGCGGCGGAGATTGTTCCAAGTTGAATGCCAGTTGAGGGGTTCTCCACTGCTAGAGTGAGACCGGTAGCGGAGGGGACAAATTCATTGTGGATAAAAAGTCCCGTCGGAACTAGGAGGGTTAGCAACGGTCACATCTAGAGTTAAGACGGACTTACTTGTAATTTGGCGGCCTTGGATGCCTGTTACAGTCAATCCCGAAGACATTTTTATTTTTATGGAAGAAGTGAGATGTCAAATCCGCAATAGCTTTCCTGCAGATGTATGACATTTGTACCTGATCCCTTCGGAACGTTCCGTCGCGGAACTGTCATGCGGAAACCCACAATTCCCATTCCCGAGGTATGTATGTAGTATAGTAATCAGTCAAAAGAGGGGACAATGGATTGTTTGGAGCGATAATTTGATTGAAATCCTTGAAATCGATGATAGAGATTACATATAAACAAGAATGGACGGCCTCCAACACGCTCCTTTTGTGTGCAATTTTCGTGTTTTATCTTCTAGTTGTCTGCAAACAGGGGAGGGCATAAAGCTAAATGTGGTTGGAGCGCAGATCATTCTCCCATGTACAACTATTGATTGAAACGAAGGGTTCATCATATCATCATTCCCCAATCTGACCACACCCAACCTGTGTATCGGCCTCTTTTCAAGATGGCGACGGAGTTGCGACCGCAGTGGAAGGAGATAAACGGCGTAAGACTAGGTATGGCCTGTATTCGTATTCGGTTAATCTGTTGAACTGTACACTGACATTCCTTGACGGTTGTGTCAAGTCTGCCTTTGATAGCCCCAACACTGAACGGAGGAACTCACGATGCCCTCTATTTAGTTTTCCAAAAGGCCCAGGCTAGGACGAGCAAGCCCTTGATACCAGCTGCCAGCCAGAGAATGGGAGCAACCCCCCCGGTGACTTTAGTGACCCATCCACCGACGATGGCGCCCACAAGCGTCAACACAAACGCAATGATCCGCCGGTCGCGTTTCACATTCCTAATAAGAAACAGCTGGGGGTCCGACATTAGATCGCAGAGGAGACTGGTAATCACCACGGTCGGGATCTCATTGTATCCCAAGGCACGACTCGCTACAATCTGACCGGCAGACTGGATACTAAGGAGAATGATCGGGACTTCCTGATCCCATGGGGGTGCTGTCTGTGAACCTTTGCCGGCTAGCGTACTAGAAACGGCACCTCCTTGAACCAGTCCAGCCGTAAGCAGGATTATACTGGCCTGTAGCAGGAAAGACAACATCAACGACACTCGTCGCCGAGTGCCTAGGACGCGATGTAATCGTGCGAAGACGAAGGATCCCAGGATGAAACATCCGATGGATGTGAGCGAGCGTGCCCAGCCATATGGACGGAGGTTTTGGTGCGATGCACCCAGTCCGACGAAGATGGTGTTTCCTACAAACCATGGGGATTGTTCGACCCTGATGTGGGATTGTAGATGAGTGAGCTTGTGATCTTACCTGTTTGCATAGAGACAAAAGTGTTGTAGGCTATGGATGTTAGTGTCAAATGTGCCGCAGTTGAGTAGACAGGACTTGGGGCTTGTTCCTACCCCTGTATATCGTACTATCTACAAGTCCCGATGTCAAACAACAAGCAAAAAGTAGGAGGTCAGCATGCTGAGGCTCGAGTTCAGCTTTTAGAGATGTTGAAAGTCCACCGAATGCGCCCTTTTCACGGTCCATTTCCGATGTTATTGACTACAATGAGAGAGAAATGGGGAGGATGATGGAAACACAAAGATACGCAGGGAACCATCAAAATTAAACACAACCGAAAGAGGCATTTTTTTTTTCTTTTCCGCGGCGATTGAAGGACAGGTGAATAGACTATGAAATCTGCCAACGCTTCCTTCCCCTCCCATCCCCCGGTCAATCGCATCATCATCCTACCTAATTGATGCACCCTAAGACGGAGCCAAGGTGCAGTGAAAAACTCCGAAACTCCGCGGACATCTAAGGAATCTGCAGGAATTGAGACCAGATAAGGATAGCCACTATCACATGTCGTGCATAGCGCCCTTGGTATTTCTGTTGGATGGGCCCGGGGACAAAGCCGAGTGCATATCAACTTAGTCTCCGATGCACGCCTAGAGTGCCAAGGATGACCCGGTGGGATACGCGTCGGCCGGCTGCTTGGCGGCAAATTTCTTCTACTAAACCCCATTCACAGACAGGACTCGTGTCACTATGGGTTCCCATGGAGGGGTTGATGTGCGACCTGCTGTGCATGATCCCCAATCCTTGTGGCAAGCCAAGCGTCTCAGAGTTTCAAGACAAATCCTCCCGGCGGGCGATCCCGAAAGCGATGAGGCCAAGACGGACGGGAACAATAGCGCATATCGCTGTAAGGCAGATCCAAAAATTCAGCCCTCCATCTCAGCCTTGAGTACGTCAATATCCAATTCTGCCATGACGCCAAGCACCACACCTAGATTCTCCATAAATCCGTTGACAGAAACGCGCAGCATCCGGTTGGTTGTCGCGATGTATGTTATCTTCAACACGGTTTTAGCCTCATCGGGGTCCTGCTTTTGTTTCTTTTCCTTCGGCTGGGATGGTGCTTCGACCGCCGGAGCCCCAAGGGTGAGAGTCCGTCGTACGAAAGGGGATAGTTCGGCGTCAACTTCCAAAGCGCGTAGAGCGCATGATGCAAGGCGATTGGTTGGGAGAGGTACGGATATTGTGCTGAGTCAAAAAGTGAGTATTGATTGCCTTTGTTTTGGAGCTAGTTTGGGGTGGGGGAGGGGCTTACAGTGAGTAAGGAAACTCGGAATTGGTTGGTTGTGTGAGAGCCATGATAGGCCGAATTGAGTTGATAAAAGTAAAAAGGGGATCGTCCTTGTGAGTTCAAAAGGGGGTATTCCAAGTAACAGGGGTGAAATGAGTTAGTGGTATAGTGAAGATGGGGTAGAAATTGGCGATGCAGTTCGGAGTCCCAGAGGAGGAATTCCGGCCCGGGGAAATTACATGGCTGACTCAGCCCCACGGCGATAGCCCAACAAGGCTAGAAGAGTCTTGACTTACCTACCTTGGCACTTCGTGTACACAAGGTACACATTGCACGACAGTACGCGTTGATTCGCTATACAGCAGTACAATAGCACCTTTTGTATTTTTTGGGTGATGATCTCCCGGTCTGAAGAGCTTGGCGAACGAGGGTCTTTGTGGAACGGTGCATTGAGCCAAGAGACGGAAACCCCTCTGAAGATGGCGTGGCGAAGATCTCTCCCGTGAAAAGAGCGCAAATGCATTGCGACACTTTACAATATGCAGTCATCTTGCCAAGGTACTCAGATTGATTAAATTTCTCTGAGAAGTAAGTCCTCAGGATCAACATTGTGGGTCGAGTTCTTCATCCCCAGCCTATCCCAATCAACCTGGAAAGCCCAATGTAAACATGCATTATCTAGATCTTGGCTGTCCGTACGGAGATATATGTATGCAACCCTATTGTGGCTCTTGATTGATGGGAATAATCTGAACACCTGGCCCCGAAACTAGCGCTGTTAATCTTGCGCAATTAGTTCTTCATGGACTCACTCAGCTGAGGTCATCTAGGATCAGTACGACGCGAAGGAAGATAAGCCATCTGAACGTCTTGGCAGATGGTGGAATGTTACATCCCCAAGAAACCAAGACTTTTGCCTTTGGTGAGATGCTTTTGTCCCCTACGAGCAGGCAGACATGTCTCCTCTGGGACTGGTGTCTCTGCATGTAGCAAAATCACTTGCGGGGTATAGAACTGGAAAATATAAAGAGCAGCGTTATCCTTCGACTGTAGCACAAGAATCCAACTGTCCAAACAAAAAGACATCTCCTTTACCAAAGTTCCGAACATGACTATCACAATCACCGTCGAGAAGGATGGATACTACGAGGTCAACGGGACCCGGCAGGAGCCTACCGTCTCTCTCTATGTGATTCCTGCAGCTTCCAAGTTGCGCCGCATGCTGAAAGACACCAAAGAGCTCATCGTGTGTCCTGGTGTGTATGATGGCCTCTCTGCTCGCATTGCCATGGAGGTTGGTTTCAAGGGACTGTACATGGTAAGAAATCTGATCTCTAACACCACACTGTATGTTAACCAAGCTCACAGACTGGTGCTGGAACTACCGCATCACGCCTGGGAATGGCTGATCTCGGCCTGGCCCAGCTTCATGACATGAAGACCAACGCCGAAATGATCGCAAACTTGGATCCATTCGGACCTCCGTTGATCGCAGACATGGATACTGGCTATGGAGGTTAGTGATCCGTACTCTGAAAATAATAGACCATTATCGCTTGTTTGGAAGGGAGTCTAACTTTCTTCAAGGCCCTTTGATGGTGTCAAAGTCTGTACAGCAATACATCCAGGCAGGCGTGGCTGGCTTCCATATTGAAGATCAGATCCAAAACAAGCGTTGCGGTCACCTCAATGGCAAGAAAGTCGTTGGCCTGGAGGAATACCTCATGCGCATTCGTGCCGCCAAGCTGACCAAGGATCGCTTGCACTCGGATATTGTTCTGATTGCACGGACCGACGCACTCCAGCAACATGGCTACGAGGAGTGCATCCGCCGACTGAAGGCTGCCAGGGATATTGGAGCTGATGTTGGACTACTTGAGGGCTTTACTTCAAAAGAGCAAGCCCGTCAAGCAGTCCAGGATCTGGCTCCTTGGCCTCTTCTTCTCAACATGGTTGAGAATGGAGCGAGTCCTCTCATTACTACAAAGGAGGCTGAGGAAATGGGCTTCAGAATCATGATCTTTTCATTCGCCACGATTACCCCAGCTTACATGGGCATCAAGGCCACTTTGGAGCGCCTCAAGGCAGATGGAGTAGTCGGTGTACCTGACGGTCTAGGACCACGAACGATCTTCGAGGTCTGTGGTTTAATGGATTCTATGAAGATTGACACGGAATCTGGAAATGACGGGTTTGCCGAGGGAGTTTAGTATCTAGGGGGTAACTAGTATGGATATATGCATGTTTTTTCTTTTTCGCATTGGACAAGCAACGGAGTTTCTATAGCAAGATATTCAAATTGAAGGCAACAGTCGCAATATACAACTTCTTCGTATAAGCCATGGTTCAAATCTCATTCAAGTCTTGGTCACCTTCGTGGGATTCCATTTCATCGCTCATTTCAACCGAAGAGGTCACTGGGGGAATCTTTTTCACAATCTCCTTTTCAACGATAGACCATTCGTTCTTTTGGATAACCTTATATAGACCAGGCCACAAGCTAGCCTGGACGAATCCATCCGAGGTATCTTCCTCTGTGAGCGTACGCATTTCCTCATCCCGGAACGGTAATCCGTATTGGTAACTGCCCCAAAAGATGTATCTGTCTTCCTGACAATCCAATTTATGTTTGAACTTGATGCAGCGTGCAATGATGTTATGTAGCTTTTGCATGCGTTTTAGTCTGTCGGTGACAGCGTAGCGACCGAAGCAGGCTTCTACCTTCTCGATGATCCAGCTACACTGTTCTTGTAAACTAGGGGTTTCCAATGATAAGATGGCAGAGCTCATCGCACATCTCCAATGCCGGGAGATGTGATTAGAAACTTCCGTTGTTAGAAAGCAGTGACAATAGTGATCTCTGAGCGCTTACATTTTTTATCTATTTCGGAGTCGATCTTGCGGAGATAATTACTCCAATGGTGATCAGATCCAACCATAAATCCATTCCAAAACGACCGATAAATTAACGCGGCAATGTCCGCCTGAATAATATCCAATGTCGAGATATCAAGCATATCTGATCTTGGCGTAGGATGGGTGGGATCGTTCATTCGTGTTGGCTTTGCCGCGAAATGAGTAAACCTCCAGTGTGCAAGATCATGATAGAGTAGGCACATCTCTCGTTTAGCCTCTTCGTCGGAGAAAGTCTCAATCCCAGCTTGTAGGCTTGCTATTTTGGTCATGAGAATTCGGCTCTCTTTTCTGGCTACTTTTGCTTCCTTAGTAGCATTTTCGAGTAGTTCGCCTCGTTGACGGGCCTGCTCCTCTGCGAGTATCCGCCCCCTCTGAAAGAACCCTACATTTTGTTCTGCGATCTTGATTTGCTGGTCTGTTCGTTAGATAAAACCAAGTATAGGGGGGACTTTCATCCCAGACCTGATGGAGCCGTTCAACTTCGTCACACATGGCTTTATGATCCACGCAAGCTAATGAATTTAGTGAATTCCATATAGGCCATGGAGGGGGAAAAACGAACCAACGGTAACTTGCCCCCATTTCGAGGATGAATCTGGGGAGGTTTCAGTACTCTTAGTCGCCTGTTCAGGCTCAGGTTGGTCTTGAGGACACATTGTGTACCGATAGTTGAATGATGGGAAGTTTGAAATAGTAAATGGAACAGTTTTAATTTTAACTCATGACACATTCCCCAAATTGATGACAACACAATTACCTGATGTGGTAGGAATATGCCTCACGCCGACGCTCATTGCGGCTAAGCGCAACAGTCAATGATATCAAACTTGCGAAACGGCAAACTTTGGATTGAACAAATATCATCCACAAGTTCTCCCTGTCGTATATAGCTCTTTCACTTCCTCTACCTTTCAAGACTCTCTAAGAAAGACACAAGTGGTACAAATTCATTATGGCAACCACAGAGGAGCGACCAAAACTCATAGTTGGTGTTGATTTCGGAACAACCTTCAGCGGGTGAGTATCCATAGATACGATGTATTGATAGTAACTATGAAGTAATAGGCTGACTTTTACAGCGTTGCCTGGGGATTGGAAGACTGCCCTGATGATATTGAGCTCATTCAGACATGGCCAGGTGGTGGCAACAGTGAGTCTAAGATAACAGACAAGTTCATCAAAACTAACTATTCAACAGTCACAAGTCAGAAGGTCCCAACCCTATGTTTCTACGATGGCAAGCACATGAAATGGGGTTATCAGACTGAACAGTCGATCCATCCGGGCAAGGAGCAGCGGCTCATCCAAGGAGTTAAGCTGTTGCTAGATGGAAGCCAGAAATTTCGCTACGCACCTGCTTCTGACTCTCAGAAAATTATCAAAGACCTGCGTAAAACGCCGATGGAGGTGGTTGGGGACTACTTGGGAAAATTAGTCGCCCACGCTCATGAGGTCTTGACACGTCGCTTTGGAACGGCGCTGCAAAGCATGGACTTGGAATATATCCTCACTGTTCCCGCTGTGTGGTCTGACAAAGCCAAAGATCTTACTATGCAGGCGGCACATCGAGCTGGTATGTCGCCTGGAAATTTGAGACTCTTGTCTGAACCGGAGGCGGCTGCGGTGTGTGCAATTCGGACAATTCAACCAAATACATGCGCGGTTTGGAGCTCATCCCACTATGATTTGGAATTGAATGAGCTGACAAATTGTAGGAAGGAGACTGCTTGGTTGTCTGTGATGCTGGAGGTGGAACAGTCGTGAGTCTTTCTTATATGAAACCGATTGGACAAAATTGAGTGATATATAGGACATCATTACCTATCGCGTCAAGGAAACCAACCTGTTAAGGTTTGAGGAGGCCACAAATGGAACTGGTATTTATCAAAGGCGCATACGCTTCTGCTCTTGCTTCTCCCTGACAAATTCTAGGCGCTGTTTGTGGCTCAGTGATGTTGGATGAGAGATTTGACGCACTTATCAAAGACATCATTGAGAAACAGTCAGATCAACCGATCCCCCAGTCTACTGTAAGGGCAGCAAGAAAGTACTGGCAAGACTACATCAAGCCTGGTTACACAGGTCCTCTCGACGACGATGAGATCTGTGAGCCAGGATATTGGATCCCAGTCCCTGGGGTTTCGGGGATCTCTAACGTCGAGCTTAGTGAGGGGCACTTATATCTAGACAAGTACGTATGAAAATAGCTTTACTTCATCGCCTCGACCGTGGGCCACTCTAATCCAGACATAGAGACCAAGTGAAAGGAATTTTCGATCCTATCATCGAGCAGATTGAGGAACTGGTCGCCGAGCAGAGAATGAGCGTGAAGGAAGCAGGTTTTTCAACCAAGGTAAAAGTCCGAAGCACTTTTCAAAGAAGCTTGACTCATTTCAATTAGGCTATTATTCTAGTGGGGGGCCTTGGAGCCTCGGAGTATCTCTTTAAGCGCCTACAGGCTGCTTCCGACGGCATCCAAATCATGCAGCCCCCGAACGCGTAAGTCCTCGACCTCTTGGTAACTCAACCCAATACTGATATAATAATAGGTGGTCTGCTGTTGCTAGGTGCGCATTCAAATCGTTCTTAACACTTGCTTTGTACCTAACAGGCTTAGGGGCGCCGTTATCCGTGGCCAGGAAGGCAACCAAGTAGAAAGTCGCATTGCCAGATGCAGCTATGGCGTTAATGCGAGAACCCCGTTTAATTCTACAAAGCATCGCGCAGATGAAAACCTCATATGGTGTCCTTATGAAGAGGAATGGAAGATGGACAATCGTATGAAATGGTATATCATTAAAGTGAGTAACCTTCAGTGGTCCTGAACATTCCTTGGGGGGCTTTGTGTGCTTACCTGAGGGACTTTCAGGGAAACCCCGTGGCCGAGAGTGAGCCAATAAGGATGAACTTCTACCGTACAGTCGGCCCTGGCCAATCTTTTGTATTTCTGTCAAACTTTTGGTTTTGCCAGATAGCCACACCCCCCGAAGAGATGGATTCCAGTATGTCCCCGTCTCGCCAATATATATAGCGCTTTACTGACATGAACAGGTGTTGCAGAACTGTGTGTGCTGGAGGCAGATCTGAGCAGAATCCCGAAAGAGCTTTTTGAAAAGAAGAGGAACTCCAGAGGGAAACAATTTTACCACGTCAGCTACGATTTGGTTTTAACGCCAACCTCTGCATCGCTGTTGTTTGACCTACAATTTAATGGTGTCTCCTATGGGAGCGTGAGATCTCGCTATTGAATTCTACTATGGCGAACCAGGAAAAGTATGTTTTGAGATGGCTAATTTGAAAGGGACCTTTTGCCTATGATGGGCGTGGTTGTGCTTTTACACGCTCAATCGCTTGATTGAGAATGGCTTTATGATACGGTTGAGAAGACAGAGATAGCTAGCAATACGGACCTGATATTTCTTTTCCTTGTGACAAAGTATATAAGACAAGGTGTTCTAGCTAGTTTCACAAAATTTAACAGTGTATCGAACGGGATTAGAGAAAACCTAGGCCTACAGGCTGCAGTAGACGATAGCTATTCAATATCAACCATCCCTGCTACCCTGAAAAATGGTCAAATTTTGCAAACCCGAGCCTTTCAAAACATCCAACGGCGCCACAAAGGCCATCTGACCCCATGAGAAAACTTGATTCTTTCCACCGTAGATAAAGACTTCAAAGCGGCCGACAAAGGCTCCGTCCACCCACACACGACTTCCATAAATCTCGTTTGTGGAGATAGTGACCTGTGATTTACGGGGGATTGTCACAACCTCGTGGCTGGAGGTGGTCTGATTAGCCCAAATTCGTCCGGGCTGGTCTTGGTCGAAGCCATCGGCCTCGGCAACAGACCGAAGTGGGTAAGGCCATCCATCGGAAACAAAAGTCAATGCACCGTCTGATGACAATGTAAGTGTAGCATCGGAGGACTGTAAAGAGAAAGGGCCCGTGATGTCTAGTTGGAGGGTATAACCCATTCCCTTACTGCCATAGCCTAAATTATGTTCATCCTGGTTTGACTTTGTTGTTGGCCGTGTCCAAGAAAGCAAAAGTCCTGATCCATGACCCGCTTCCCCTGGGAGGCGTCGGTCAAGATTTTGTCCCACGGCTTGAGAAGATAATTTTGCAATAGATTTGTCCAAGGTTTGTTCGTGCAGGTGAGGTCCACGCGCACCACACCACGCTCTTGAAGCCACGACCGGGATGCCATCACGGATTGCATAGTAGGCTTCCAGTTGAGTAGTAGCGTCCGGGCCGCTGTCATTCCAGGCAGCCAAAAGAGCACCTGGTACAGCTTTGGCATCCGGTTGTTCAGTCGTATTCACCGGATTGAAGAGCTCCGGTGTCCATTGCCATCCGTTCTGATCGGCGAAGTTGAGAACGCGGGCATTATCGAAGAACTGCGGATAGGGGGCTGGGCTGATAGGCACATGGTTGCTTTTCAGTGACATATAGGCCCACCAATCCTCTGAGTTGATGACCTGATAGCCATTGCGGGCTAGACCAACTGGGTCTGATTGTCCATACTGCCAGTGTTGAACTGTCACGTTCTTATTAATGGTATTGTTTGATGGCTCGTATGTTCCCCAAATACGGACACTTTTGCCAGATGTTTCTTGCACAAAGCGGGACATCTCGTTCACGAACTCAACATAGTCGTCCGCAAAGTTAGGATCGTATTCATCGGCGCCGATGTGCACCTCCTTTGTGTGGAACCAAGGAAGGAACTCGGCCCAAATGGACTTCATCAAAGGAACAGTGTCCGGATGGGAGAGATTGAGTAGGTCCTTCGAGTCCAATGCGAGCTCAGGCCTCCATTTCGTAACCGTGAGACAGTGCCCGGGGCTTTCAATCTCCGGCATCACTGTAACACCTCGCTGAGCACAGTGGTGCTGGAAGTCATCAAACTCAGCCCGGGACAGCGTTTCGTTGGCACGCTGAACAAGAGGATGAAGAGCCTCGCTTTCAGGATGCAAAGAGAACTGCGAGTAGACTTCATTCCATGTCTCATTCTGACCGCGACTCAGTGGATAGTTATCGGTGGCATGGTACTGGAACTCGGACATTTTAAAGAACGAGCCATAGGTGCACAAATCCTTCAAGAACTCCAGGGAATACCATTTGCGACCAGCATCTAGCAAAAATCCACGAGTTGCATAGGCAGGGGCATCTTCCACGCGACCGGGTGGTAGGGATGAGGGTGTCAAAACGAGCTGCTGGAGGAGCGTTCGCGTCCCCCACCACATACCTCGCGCGCCGGAGCCTCGAATAAACACACTGCCATCTTCGATCTCCAACTCATATCCCTCCTCGGTCTCACGTCCATTTTCATAGGTAAACCTCTCCGGATTGTTTACGCGACCGAGGAATATTCCCGACGCGTGTTTGGGAAATTGCTTGACCGTGCGAAGCTCCCAAGAACTGTTCGTCAGCTCCTGTAAGTCGCCGCGAAAAGTGTTGGCGAAGTCGGATGCCGATGGTGGAAGCAGCGTCAATCCATTCTGATCCTTCCAGCTAGCGAAATCCGTATCCAGGTAGATTGTCCGGTCGGTGGTTGCTAATAAAAAGCCTTTGTTATGGCTTGAACTAGTGTTATCAAAGTGCACCGGGGGCAGGATCTGCAGCGCAGACGCGACTGCAGCGAGGGATAGGACAATCCACTTCATATCTGGACATTGTGATGTTGGCTGCGCTGTGACCCGACCATTTTATGCGAAGCAAGGGGCTGTATCAAGTGGCAGCGTTACATTCCTGAGTGTACAGGGGCGTGGGGGTAAGGGCTTTGCGGGGAAATGTGGAGTTTATATTGGCACAGTGGTGGTGATTGTGGATATTCTAACTCCTCTAGTTCTTGGGATATAGATAAGCAGGTTGCATTGACAGACTGATCTAATTAACTATGTTTTGCTTACTTGTTGGAACGTGAGGTCCTCGCCTCACCGAAGCCCACATGTCGATGCCAATGAGCCGTCACCCGTTGAATTTTGATAGACATGACGCGGGGGACTTTGTATTTCTTGCAGATCATTGCTGTTTCTCGCTTTTCACCGGCAGAGATGTCTTTTTGGATGTTATAAATCCCTTCCATTCACTGTTTCTCGTTGGCGAGGGAAAACCATAAAATCAACTTTTATTCAAATATATATACCACTGTATGTGGTTCGTATATCTCTTTGGGCCATTTTTTATTTCCGTCGTTTTGCATTTTTTCCGGGCAATTGGTTAGAAGAAAACCGGCCACGATAAGGTAGATGAGGAATCCTATAGATGTAAGTGAATATGCACCCAGGAAGAAGTGCCGCGATTTCATCTGCTCAAGATTCTGGTATATCCGGGTTTACTATAGCCGCTTGAACATGCACAGGGAGGACAAAGGTATTTCCTAGTCCTGCCCAGTGAAGGGCATCCAGTCTTGCAAGCCCGAGTTTCACAAGTGGGAAGCTTTGGCTTTGACATCGCAGAACCTGTAGCCACGAGTCTACTAAATGCTTTCCCCGTATTGCATGTGCCACATTTGGTGCCTGTACCAGTAGTAACATGAGGTAATTTGAAATTGTAGCGAAGCCGATTCGTGACCCTATGATGTTAGATGTTAGCACCTAGTCAGATGAGATAGTGGAAGTCAAGGTGAGAAGCTTACATGAATACCAGAATGCGGTGAAATCACTAGACGTTAATCGTCTCGCAAAGTTCACCAATATGGAGGCACACTTCTCTGCCGCTTGTAGAGTGGCATCGCCAGTACCAAACTCATCGGAGATAGATATTTCCGGTAATGATTCTATTTCCGGGAGGTCCATGAAGTCTAACATCGACTCATCTACGGCCAATGGTGACGTGGCAGACATATCTTCCAAGTCAAAGATAAGTGGCGGTTCGGATGATCGCGCCATCGGTCTGAGCATCGCACGGTAAACATAGACCACGAGCAACAGGTAAGCAAAATGGATCGAGGTGGGGTACGGAGCAAGGCCATTGACGGATTTGCTCCAATTGGGAAGTCGAAAAGTCTCTGGGAGAGAAGAATACCAGCAATTCAACTTCTCAAGCAGCCCGCGGCCGAGCTCGGCCGAGGCGACGAAATTTGCGTTCAAGAATTGGGAGGCCCGGAGCGTGCTACATATTATGGTTAGCAAGACTGAATATTCGCTGACGAACGATTGAGGGGCTCTACTGAGAGTCAACACGTACTAGAATGTTTCATGGATCTCTTCGCCGATTCGTGTGAGATTGACGAGGTATCGGAACGGAATCTCGGTATCACAAGAACTAGTTGAGAATCCTTGTCGTGGGCCCACCAGAAAGTCCCCTTCATCCAATTCACTCACGTCCCACTCTGCAGGATGGATATATGGTGGACGTCCCATCAGCAAACTGCGCCATTTGTCCTCGGCATACACAGCCCACCACAACCGCCGTCGGAGGCGCTTTTCCCATGCCGGAATGCCCCACATTCGGCATTCGATGTGAAGGCCGAGGGAACAGGCCAACCCAACGATTTGGCCGACGAAGGACCACAGAAACGGGGTATCGGCGGTCGTGAGGCGGGTCTCATCTTTTGGCTGTTGGTGAATATATAACAACGCTGCTTGCAGCACGGCCAAACGGGGACTATGGATCTCTTCGGTCACGAGTTCATAGACCATCCGCCACAAGGTGTCAACTGGTGACGCATTATATGTGCTCAGCACACAGAGATAATCATCATGGGCGACAAATGGAAATGCTGATGCGTAGACGGCCGCGAGAAGGTGCACGGGCACCTTTTCTAATGCCGACAGGTCCGGTAGCTGATATGTCGCCGCAGTCAACCCTAGTTGGGAACGGGAAATGATTGGCAGGGCAGGGAAGACATACTTGACAAATCTGATGTTCTTTTAGTTCAGTGATGCTTCGGTCTTATATTGAGGGGTAATACTCACAAAGCTATCAGCCTTCTTCCATACTCAGGGGGTACTAGATAGTTCAGGCGTTCCCGTGTCGCTTCGCCAACGCCGGCCCTAGTTTCATGCTTAATGGAGGTAGTAAGCTCTTCGGATGAAATCATGAAATGTATTGGAATTCTCTGTGCCGTAGGGACACCCCCGGCGTTGCGAAAGTGCACTTTGTAGAAGTATTTCATGCCAGAATCGTCAAAGCAACAATGCCTTAACAGCCAAGGGTCTGATTCCGCCGATGCGCCGAAAAGTTGGGCATAACCGTGTTCTAGTTGATCAATGCTTTGCACGAATTGTGTCGGGGGTCTTCCGGGGCCTAGAACACCGGAACCTGGAGATACCCCAGTATTACTTGGATCGAGGCCGATGGGTGGAAATTGTGGTTCGACACTTTGTGTTGCACTCCCTGCCCAACTGGACTCGCGGGTGAAATTGTTGTCGCATGGTTGCGAGATAAGTGTGTTCTCATCAACACTACGGGCGACAAAGGGCGAAAAATTTCCAGCGCCTCTGGCTCTTTTTGGTGGAGGATTATCAAAGGTACACTCCAGTTTGGCCGATCGGCATCGTTGACAGGGGCCTCCGCCGTCAGTTTGACAGCCCAGCTTGCGGGCACGACATTGATCACATGGGCGCTGACGTTTTGACCGATATGGCCGAGCAGAGAGGGGAGAAGACATGACTTGTTTCAGCTGATCGGCGAACGCAAGGAATGTAGGCTAATGCGCATTTATCAGGTCATTCCAGCGAAGAAATTGCTCGGCGAATGGAGAACAGTGGGCGGCCGAGATAATTGGCCGAGACGACTGGCCGAGATGAGTGGCCGCAGTCACAGATAGAAAAATTCCACACCAGACACTAGCTAGAGCGAAACAATGCCCAAAAGATGCGAAAGATGCCGCTGGGTGAACCGCCTTCGGGGGAACACCATAAAATGACGTCATCTGCCGGTCTCGGCGAACCAGCCGGCGAACACAGTATAATGGCCACTTCGGCATTCGTTCAACGGCCAACAACTAATTCTTGCAAATTTTTACTTCAAAGTAACAGATATAAAGGGCCTGGATATGCGGGCTGTAGATATGTATATCAATTAAAACAATTATATTCAGCCACACATAAAGGCATTGCTAAATTATCTTAAAACCAAATCTCATCTCCACTTCCGGAATATCAAATACCATAGCCTCAAAATGCCTCAAAACAGCGGATTGAGCCGATACGATCACTTCAAGGCTATTTTCTCCAGACATTCTAGCCAAGAGCCTGAGATCAAGGGTGATACAACATCCGAAACTACACTAGTCCCACGGTATGACTACCCCAACAGCGCATATAATGATAGAGAGTATCACAATGCTAATTCATCCTAGACAGACACAGCCAACCAGATATAATAAGCGTGACCTCCCCAAGAACTATAATGGTAAGTACCCCAATACCAATGCAATGATATGCAACATCAGCTAATGGGGAAACGTTATTCAGCTGCCGACATGTGCTTCGGCTCTTGCTGCAGAAACTGATATCCAATCATCTCAGTGACCAATCATGCCAACCTTCTTGGAATCAGGAAGTACTAAAAGCATTTTGATACAACATTTGTGGGAGGAACATCTTGAATACCTTGTTATATAGAAATTTCATAATTTATAATTTATCATGTCCTTTTTCCGCTTTTATTCCAGTTTTCCTCTCTCCGAATATACCATTGGCAGCTGTGGTAGCTTCTGTGAGCGTAGAATGTGTGGAAAAGGCTTTCACGAGCGAGTTCTGCTAGATTATATCTATAATTTGGGCAAGCTAGGGAAGCGTGGTGATATAAATTCCATCAAACCCGTTTTCTCCGCACGGTAAACCCGGGGAGCGGGGTAAGAGAAAATGCATAAAATAGTACTTTTTGGACTTGTCATATTCAACGTAGTACCATCGACATTGAACTGCATAAATCGTGTTTTATCCTGTTGGCAATTGCATCTGATCTCCTAATGAAGCCCCTAACACCTTTGAGTCCCAATGAAAATGGCTGATCATGCTCTTCCACTCAAGCGACCCGAGTACCGAGCTAAACATAAGAGGGGTTCAGTCGAAGCCGCGGAGACTCAAATAGATCACCTATTGAGATCAAAACTTTCTGCTGCCTTGAACTATTTCATAATAACGCTATAGAACCTGGTAATCTTATATCCGGCATCTACAGCTCAACACAGTATGATTTTTGAACCTGCAGAGAGGGTTTTGCTTCCAACAAAGGACCTATTGTCCTATATCTTTGACGAGCCACTATATGATCAAGACCAGCCAGTGAGTGACAATCAATATCTCAACGTTATCATCATCCGGCCACTGAATTGACCTCGGTAGATCTACATCGATGTCAAAAATCCTACCAGGTCGATATCCTGTAACCAGGCGCGAAAGCTCGTTCGCCAGCTCATTGCTGGCCTGTGGGCATCTGGCCTTCAAAAAGGCGATTGTGTTCTCATTCATTCCTTCAATGATGTATGTGCGTTCCATTATGCATTTAGATGAAGCTGCGGGAGGCTGACTTATTTTTAGATAAGTTATAGCATTCTTGTGCTGGCCATTATCGGAGCTGGGGGATGTTTCACGGGCTCGAATCCATCTTACACCCCACATGAGCTTGCTCACCATATCAGGGCCTCCGAAAGCAAGTTCTTTTTCTCCGAGCCCGAGATCTTGAATTCTCTCATGGGTGCGGTTGGAGAGACAAACATACCCAAGCAAAATGTTTGGGTTTTTGACAATCTGGGACAAGTCATTCCGGATGGAATGCAATCATGGAAACAGTTATTAGAAGTCGGTGAGGAGGATTGGGTGCGATTCAACGATCTAGAAACCTGCCAACAGACTACAGCGGCGCGGCTGTTTAGTAGTGGTACCACTGGTCTGCCCAAAGCTGTCACAATAACACACCATAACCTTATTGCACAGCATGAGCTTGTTCACGGCGTGAAACCGCGTTCTTACCCTGTCAGTTCATCCCGGTATCAGCTTGGAGGAGAGCTTTGAGAAACGAGTACAATGGTCTCACTGACACCTAACATGCTCGAATAGATTTCGCGGGTCATTGCGGTACCCATATTCCATGCATCTGCAGCTCCAGTGTCACATATTTCAACGCTGAAAGCTGGCTCAGTCGCATATATGATGCGTCGGTTCGACCTCGAGACATACCTCACTACAGTTGAGAAGTACAATGTCACCGACCTTGCTATGGTTCCACCAATCGTAATAGCAATCCTCATGTCACCTCTTTCTCAAAAGAGACCATATCTGCGAAAGGCCCGAATGGCAGGCTGTGGAGCAGCTCCTTTGGATAAGAACATCCAAGCCAGGTTCCGCTCACTAATGGGCGACAATGCCCCATTCACTCAGGTATGGGGAATGACTGAAACATCTTGTGTGGCTACTATGTTTCCCTATCCCGAACACGATGATACGGGATCTGTCGGCCGGCTTATCCCAAACCTTGAAGCTAAGTGTGTTTCATCAAATTCCCCCGCCAAATGTGTAGCACCGTGTCAAATATGGGACTAATATCGATTCTGTTCAGACTCATCGACGAAGAAGGAAAGAATATCTCAGCCTTTGGCGTCCGTGGCGAGTTGTGTGTCCGAGGTCCGACAGTGACACCTGGGTACTTTAACAACCCCGAGGCTAATGTCGAAGCCTTTGACTCTGAGGGTTGGTTCAAAACGGGTGATATAGCCTATTGTGACCAGCGTACTCGCAAATGGTATATTGTGGACCGCAGGAAGGAACTGATTAAAGTCCGCGGTTTCCAGGTGGCTCCACCGGAGCTCGAGGCAGTAATCTTGTCGCATCCGCAGATTGTAGACGCAGCCGTGATTGGAATCACCTTCCCTGGTGCTGATATCGAGTATCCACGCGCCTATGTGGTTCGACGACCCGGCGATTCAGGGTCCAAGCTAACGGAAGCTGACATCCAAGAGTATATATTGAGCCGCCTTGCGAAATACAAAGCACTTACAGGTGGCGTGAAATTTGTCGGCGCGATTGCACGGAACCCAAGTGGAAAGATATTGAAGAGGGTATTGCGTGAGGATGCTAAGAAAGAAATCGAAGCTGGCCTTCTGAATTCTAAGCTTTAACCTCAATGTATAGGTTGAGTAACTCGGTAGCAAGACATTTGGAATATCAGTTTTTTTGTGTCAATGAATGATTTGGATAAACTTAGCAGTGTAAAAGATTCCGGTAAGTGGCTCTTCAGGTAACACGGCATATGATTGTGATTAGGAGAAACAACCAGCCTTGATCGAGGTAATCTCAGGATGTCTCTTGTTGGATTTTGATGTTACGATTTCTTGGTAAAAGAAAACGGAGGATGGTCATGAAAGAGATATACTGGGAGAATTGGGAAGCTCTTGAGGCAGCCAGAATAGCACGAAAAAAAGCGCAAAAAAAAAAAGTCTTCGCCCGGAGGCGATCTGGCAGCTCGAGATCAAACGGCACTCGAGCTGAGGATGGGCGGGTTCCAAACAAGCAGTGCGCCAATTGTCGCCAACGACAACCGCTTGGCCAAGTGCCTGCCCATCCCAACATTTACACGGGGCAGGCGGAACATATCATGCGAAATGACAATCATAAAACCAGAATTGTGATTTACCTTTTGAGCACAACCACCTTCTCTTTCAGCTGTGAGAAACTATCCTGCTTTGATATCTCCCTATTTCGCAGGGATTTACATGCAACCATCTCCTTCCAAGACTTCGGATTTTTTTAACGCGTTAGGGGTTGTGGCATTTCAACATCACCCCTCGTGACGTTGAAGCAGGCCAAGAAACTTCGTCTCTACTTGAAACTGGTTTGTGAATCGGCTCAATACCGCATACCTGCTGTTGGATCTTTCCCAGCAACGGGTATACCTAGTTGGCGCTACCGAAATCATTGAAGTCCAAAGGTCATCAAGAAGAACCTAAAGTGGGGAAATGCGGAGAAGCCGAGTTCCGCGGTAAGCATATGTTCGGGGTAAGGGACGTGCCGCAGACCCTGTTCATGGATGAAGGTCATCAGATTGGAGAACCTATGACACTTTTGTAGCTTATGTAGTGCAATGGAATATCTTGAAGCTGTTCATATCAGGGCCTCCAAAACCAATGGAGCTAGACTCTTGGACCAGTACCTAGGTAGACACTCGTAGTTGGATTTTGGCCGCTGGTCACCGCGATGTCAGGTCAAGTCTTAGTATACTCAACCATTCTCTCTAATCAAAGAACAGCTTAGGCACAGTGGGTAGAGGCTTGCATATGTTAGGAATCAACTACCAGCTGGAACGCTTGGAACCATCGAGATCATCGAGAGCTGACAGCGTTCTAAAGCCTAAGGACATTATTACCCACATTGCAGTTGAATTTGGACAGATGCCTCCGGGATAAGACGCCGAGTCGGCTTCTTCCAAACGTTGATGGTTCGACCGTTGATCAACCCCCAGACCCCCTACCAAGACCCGAGTTTCTCTTGAACCCTGCTCAAGTTATGTCCACTCAGTCATACCCCCTCCAAGTACCGATATAAAAAGGAAACTGGACATTATAAACAAAATGTTGCGACGTATAAGAAGAGCGCCAACAGCTTGCTCCTGGTGCCGCCATCGCAAAGTCCGCTGCGATGCAACCAGACTTGGGTCTCCGTGTACCCGGTGCCGACAAGACGGTCGCAGAGAATGTGTCCTCCGTGACAAGAACCCTAAGAAGTGAGACTAGAATAGAAAAGCTTGCATCGAGCAGGCATTTACTGAACTTTATCAGATCGCCAATGTTGGCAAACACGGTGCTTCCCTCGCACCAGAGTCCAGAGTCGAACAAGGTGACCACTGGCCGGTATTACGATGACCTCTGCCAGTCAAATGATCATTCATCTCTTGTCTCACAACTCCGCGCACATGGTCTCAGTTTGGATGACCGTGGGACAAGTCAACCCCAATCCCCCATTGCTCCGTATACCCAATACGCCTTCGTCGAGTCGCAACAATTGATGTCGCTCCCTTCCGAAGATGTAGCACTTCTAACATCGAAAGATTGCTTCAGTTTGCCAAACTCCAATTCAATTGACGAGTTTGTTCGGGAGTACTTCAAGCATATTCACCCATCGGTACCTGTCTTGGACGAGGCTGAGTTCTGGCGCATTTATCGAAATGACCAATCTACCGGTCCCAAAATATCTCTTTTTGTGTTGCAATCATTGCTTTTAGCAAGTTGCCCAGTCAGTGCTATGATGTCCCAGCAATTACTCCCTCTCTTAGACTAAACTATGACAGTTTGTTTCCTTAGAAACATTGCGTCGATGTGGATTTGATGATATGAGGGATGCACAAAAGCAGTTGTACAACAGAGCCAATGTAGGCATCCCCAAATTCAGTGTCATATTTACCGTGGTTGGGTATTGACTGCGCTGGGTGCAGCTATTGTTCGAACTGAGAACCGAAAGATGGTCTCATGCAAATGCACAAGGCGCCGTTCTTCTTACGCATTATACCTCTACGGAAGACCCCGAGGCTGGAAGCTTATGGGTCACAAGGGCCATTGAGCATGCCATGTTCATCGATAGTCATCCATCCTTGGTGGAAAATGTGACAATATCGCTCAAGAAACGCCTTTGGTGGTCTATCATTCTTCGTGACCAAAGCCTGTGTATTGGCCTACGCCACCGTCCTCGGGTGACCTCAATCGGCTTCCATGGATGGAGTGATTGGCTGAGTACAGAGGATTTCAGTGAAGAGTTGTATCAATCTCGAGTCTACGACTATGAGACCAAGAAGCGTTTACTAGACGAACTTCAGAAGCAATGTGAGTTAGCAGTCGTACTCACAGATCTGGACATCTTAGAGGAAATGTGGCCAACATCCTGAAAATGGGAATCTCCCTTGTCGAAGCAAATTTCACTAGGAATGACCCAATGTGTAGGAACCAATCAATGAATTTTTGGATGAAAGATGGCGTGTAGAAAACCCCGAAATATATACGTGATAAATGAAAGTAAGTCTTCATATCACAACATTTGAAGACTTTTAAAGCGGTGTCTGTATTCGTGAACAGAACCTTCCCAAGTTTCATATTTACACTTGGTCAATAAGTGTATCTAAAGCCAGACTTTTGGATTCCATTCATTAGCAAAAATCACACAATCCACCGGGTATTGATAGAAAGTACTCACTACACCCTCAAGGACCTTTAGTCCCCGCCCTTGCTGTCGATTGACGGTGTAAAAGTAAAATGCGAATGCACCCACGATCGCAATGAGAAGAATGTGGGAACTAGCATGTTGTCAGCCAGAGCCCAATGTTCAATAGTCTCTAAAACTTACCCGACTGACACCCAAACTGCGGTCTGATAGTGCGGGGCTTCTTGTTGGCGGACAATAAAGCTGCCTGCCACACCCCCAAGTCCGTTACATGCAGTGACCGCCGCAGCAGTGGCCACTCGTTTCCACTGGCCCACGATATTGTTAGCCTGGAAAGCATTGAGAGCAGCCCAGTTGGATATATAAGCGCCAGTCGCCAGGAAGGTTCCGATGTAACGAACTGTCACCGAGGTGGATGCGGGAAGGCCGAACATCAGGAACCCAGCTATGAGGACAAGAGCATTGAAGATGATCAGCGGCCCACGAACGCGGTAGAAATCTCCGATCAATGAGGTGAGAATCACCGGGATTACGGCGTAATAGTAGGGCTAGCTAAGGAGTTAGAAAATGTGTCATTTTATACTCTGGGTCAAACTTACCGGTGTGGACAGCAGAATGGATTTATTTGAGCTGAAACCCATGCCGGATTGTAAGATGATGGGTAAGAAATATGACAAGGCTGTCGAGATGAGATTGAGCAAGAAGAACATGACCGCAAAGCCGTAGATCTTCGGATCCTTGAAATTAGCAAGAAGCGTGCCCCAAGAAAACGGTTCGGGGATAACATCGGCTCGATCATCTTGAATTCGGCGCGTGGCGACACGCGCTTCCTGGTCCGAAAGAAAGAAAAAGCTGCGCTGGGCGTTCTCGGGGAAGTCGACCATCCACCAGTACGTGACGATACCCAGGACACAAGTAATAAGACCCTGGACAATATACATCCAGCGCCAACCCGCCAACCCGGCCACGCCGTTCAAATGATTGAGACCGAAATTGACGATATTGCCAGTCGCCAGAATCACAACTTCCCCGGACTGCAGGAATGCAAATCGGAGCTGTTGCTCTCGTCGCGGGTACCAGGCGCTAACCAGGTAAGTCAGACCAGGGTAGATACCGGACATGGAGATACCGAGCAGCACACGTAGGACAATCATCTGCTGCCAGGTGCGAACGAAGGCAGTGCACAGGGTCAATAGCCCAAATGTGAATGTGGTTGTCGCAAACCAGATGCGTGGACCGATAAAGCGAACTGCCACTGTGCATGGCAGTTGGAAGACCACACTGGCGATTGTGAAAATAAAGATGGAGACGGAGTACCGATTCCCCTGGTTTAAATCAAGATCATCGAGCATAGTCGTCACTGAGGCCGAGGACAAAATGCCCGAGTCTAGTAAATTGAGACTGCATAAGAGCCCGCCGATGCTACAGAGACGGAGATCGACTTTCCATCGTACCCGCTTCTCTAGATCGGCCCACTCATCCCCCCGCTCCGGGTTGAGATTGCTCCGGCCATCTTCCAGAGGAGCCTGGACGAACATCAGACTGTCGGACTGTGCATTGGTCTCTTCTACCACCAGCTCCGGGGTATGCGGTTTCTGGGCCGTGAACACGAACTGGCCCTTCTCTGAGTCGACCATCTTGACTGTCTGAACGATCAGGCCAATTCCCAATTTCTGAAATCAGATGTGTGACAAGTTGACTTGCTGATGCAATCTTTCTTTTCTTTTTCGCAGATTTTCCAGGATAAGAACGTGATAGAAGCCGGTCGAGTGGTGCGTCCCTTAGCGCGCACGCCGGACCTCGGATTATCAATCTATGTCTTTCAGCTTATTTTAATTTATTTAATTTATTTTTCTTTGAAGTTTATAGGGCTGAGAGAGCAAGCCAATGCACCGGTCAATTCCTCAGATCCATACACAATAGGCGTAAACAGCTTGAAATTCCTAGGAGCATGTGACAGGGCACATTCCAAATTTTGCCCTGCGAGATAGCACGATCCCTCCCACAATGGTGTATACAACATTTCTCTTGAAGAAAACATCCGATTTCGCCACCTCAATCGAGCACAATACTATCACGGAAAAAACGCAGGATGTTATATTGAGTAATACTATGGGGTATTTAATTATCCATCTTGATGTGAGGCTACTGCTTTTTGAGATATCATAGATCTTACGGAGTTAATTCCGCTTCTAATCCTTGGCTCATGAGGAAACACTAAGGTCGACGGGTAGTGCTTGGCACAATATCAGCCCCCACGCATAGACAGCCATCGCAGTCAGATGATCATCGTTATCTTAAGTCTCATTCTTATCCCCCAATGACCGCCAAAAGTTGCCCTTTGCCTGAACTTCTCTGACTAGTGCGAAGAGTTCGATAGGCTACTCAGAACTAACATGGCGAGTCGAAGCTGTGGGACATGCAAGGGTATGTTCCTTTTTGGGTAACCACTAGTTCACGCTCCACTATGTGAACTTGATTGAACTTGCTGACGTTCGGTCGCAGATCGGCGGATTCTCTGCGATCGGACTGTCCCAGCATGCTCTCAGTGTTCCCAATCGAACCGCACCTGCAAAGGCTACGGCCTCCGGCTGTCGTGGCCAAAGGCCAATGATAAGCGACGTGCTATGGTGGCACGCTCATCCCTACAGCAGAGGAGCACGCGGCCTCGTTTCTCTGATGCGCACCTGGTTAATATATCCACCTGGGACATCCAGATGCACCGCTATCTCTTCGGTCTAGTATCGAGCGGTAATGCTTACCATCATGGGGTGTTTATATAATCAGCGAAGGAGCAGGAATACTGATGTGCTATAGAATACCACCGACTGACACTACGATCGCCGATGCCATTTAATCCATTCAAGTTAGATGTTACAGAAAACTTCTTATTTCATTACTGTGTGTGAAACGCGACCCATTAATCCATCGAATCTTCTAAGAAACTGACCACTATTGCAGTTCAATCCACCGCATCCTGTTCTTTAACCACCTTTGGTCATGACCCGGCCAATGTGGGCAACATGCTTGTCCGCATGGCTCTCGTCAATAATGCCCCATCCACCGCTGCAGTGCTGCGCTCTTTGCTCGCGTTGTCCTCTTTACACCGTTCTGGGCTGCACTCACAGGCCGCCGAGCTCAAGATTGATGCTTTAAAGGCCCTAAGCGCTGCATCAAATCGCGAAATCAGCGCCATGGAAACAGTCCAGCATGTTGCTGCGGGGATGCTCTTATGCTCATATGAGGTTTGTACCTTTAGATTCTACCCCTTAGTGATAAACTTGACCTATATTAATGCGGTCGTCAACCCAGATCTACCAAGCGTCATGTACCTCTGGTCAATGGCGATCGTACATTATCGGTGTAAAAAGTGTCATCAAAGCCTCATCTCTCAACCTATTTAAAGGGGATAGCGACTTCAATACTTTGCTTGACTGGGTATATTACCATGATGTATTATCCCGCTTCAGTCTTACACACTGGCACCCGCCGACCATCGACAGGCCTCTCGTAGATTTAGACAACCCGGTAGACATCATGTCGTTACCGGTGAATACTGATCCCTGTATGGAGGTTGGTATAGTATTCTTGCGTTCCAAATAAGTCAAATTGCTAATTGAACAGAGATAGATCACACACTCAACCCAATCCCCGTTTACCAAAATCCTGAAGTCTTTGACTGAGGTCTGCAATCTAGTGGCAATAAACTTGACTCATATATCTCCATCCGAAGAAGCCGACAACTTTAAAAGCTACCTTAAAATCCTCGCATGGAGGGTCCGGTCCATTCCGATCTCGGACACGAGAATCGACGAGAATCCTAGCATGGCGACTCTTGTGGAACTCTTCCAACTAGCCACTCTCGTCTACCTTAACCGAGCATTTGGAAACACCCTAGAGCCGGCCGCTGATACTCAACAACGGGTTGAACGAGCCTTCAGTATTTTCTCTGAGCTCAGTTCATGTGAACGTCAGTATCCGCTGTTTATCTTGGGTTGCGAAGCGCGAACCGATGCAGAAAGGTGTATAGTCCTGGATTTAATTTCCAGGACAGAGAAGCGGGATTCATCACGCTCCCTGTTTATTACCAAGAAGCTGATTCAGGCCATCTGGGTTCAAGACGATCTTTCCCACGACGAGATTGGCTATACTGAAAAGCTCAGTGCCATTATGAGCTGTTGCACTATTCTGCCTACTTTTGTCTAACCGAAAAAAAGGTTACACTTTGTATATTTCTTTGCTGAGATGGGTTACAGCACATACGATTTCTCTAACTGGTGAATTAAGAACTGGCATCTAGTGTCCTTATCGAATTATTTTGGATATTCTTAACCGTAAGTGTACCATGGATATTACCCCCTTAAGACTAATACAAATCGATTGAAGTGGACAGGACACATTGCTCGCTTAAATATCATTTCATTGGCAATATAATCGGTACTCCAAATGAGATGACAATTCACTCCCTTCTCCAAAATTATCAAGGATAACATTTCAGATATTGATTCAACTATGAGCTCTAAGAAAGAGCAGTTGGAAAAGTCTCTACAGCCACTGTTGGTTGCCATAGTGCGACACAAAGGAACCGCCATCGCCACCCTTAACACTTGCCTTTTCCATAACTGAGACCAGATCCTGCACCGCAGTCTCTGGTGGGCTGGGACCCTTGAAGTTGGGTGCATACCGGGCGAATGCACCTAACATCCCTGCCAAGCCCTTCAGCTGCTCCTCGGTTGCTAAAAGAAGATCAGATTGCCGTGTCCAACAGAAAATGAGAACAAACTCAAACATACCGTTAGCAAAGTGGCCCGTATCAACCATCCCGGGACAAATGCTCATGAAAAGGACGCCATCCTTTGCATACTGCGCGCTGAACTTGGCCACAGCAGCGTTGAGGCCAGCCTTACTGATGGTATAGAGAGAGGCGACCTCGATCCTTAAATTAGAGATGGCATCGAGGGAGGCATGGCCACTAGAGATGGCAATAACTTTCTTGACTTCTCCCTTCATAATCAAGGGCATGAACAAGTTGAACAAGTGAATGTTGCTGACTGTGTTGATTTTGAAACACTTGATAAGGTTCTCCTCTAGGGCTTCGGGCTGCTGGCCTCTTTTTGATCGTGTCACACGGTCAATGACTGCCATATTCCACGACTTAATGGTTTAATCTAGGTGGACTCACAGAATCCCGATCGGATCATAAGCATCAAAGGTGGATACCAGCCCAGCGTTGGCGATGAGATAATCGAGCCCCCCGCCAGTGATTGTTGCAGTCTCCGCCGCCGCAGCCTATAAGGAGTTGTCAACATAGAATCCTTCTGTGTATTTGAAAGTCCCAACCTTTAAAGCAGTATAATGGGTGATATCGGCCTGCACGATATGGATGTTGGTACGTTCCGGCAACTCTTCCTTCGCCTTCGCCTGGGTTGCAGACTTGTTGCGAACAATCCCGATTATAGTATTGCTCGAATCGCGGGACAGCTGTCGAAGTAACTCCCACTGTTTTGGTTGAGAAAGGTTAGTCTTCATTCCGTTGCTCGGGAATAAAACTCACCCCAATACCCCTAGAGACCCCAGTGATAACATAAGACGGCATTTCCAACACAGTATAAATGGAAGTAATTATCCTGTAGTTTTACTTTGACAGCAGGAAGAAAGAGAAGATCACAAACGCGGATGCTGAATATTGCTCGAGGTTGAGGATACAGAGATATTTATACGATCTCATCTAATTAGATCGAAACCTATGGACTGATTCAGCTGGCATACTACTGATTTCAAATCATGGTGGATGGTGTTGCTGTTTCATTGTTTCTTCGCGAATACTTGACACTTTTTCGGTTGCCGAGCTGGTTTGCAGGCGGGGGCGTTTTTAGAGTTCCAAAAGGAGTATGGTTCCTATAGGGCTGGGTGACTGAGATAACATAGCCTTAGTGTTCGAAAAGGACTATCTGGGCAACTGTGCGTCTTGGATTGATTTCGACTCGGATTGTGACTGCAGATGGAGAAGTGGTCGAGATATCCGTTATCTCCGTATATTTTGATGTCGATCGCGTTTCTCCAATCCAATCATATTCTACCATGTACTTAAACTCCTGCCTATCTAAGCCTTGCTCTTCTCAGACTAATAAGCCCTCGGTAGCTCCATTTAACCATCCTCCTTTTCCGCTTTAAATTTTTCTACCTTGCTCATAAGTATATGTAGTATACATATTCATTTGTTTATAACCGGTCTTGTGATGTCTTACTTCTTTACTTTTCTTTTTTTTTTTTTTGAAGGGACTGAAGCCATGCTAGTCGGCTTTGTATGCACATACTTTTAGTACTCCGTACACGCCTAATACTGGAACGATTCCAAATTGGCCGGTGACTGATTCTACTCCGAGCGTGTCTCGGGCTGACAGATTATACTTGGAATGTGGAATGTGGAATGCGGGACTTCCAGAGTTGGGATAACAGCCGGTGAATTTATTTTATGAGATGTTCACGTTCAGGTTGATGCTGGATAATATCCGAAGAAGCCAATAGGAAGAAGGATATTTAGATTAGAGCCTCTGCAGTTAGCGCAAGGGCTGGGTTAAAATAGGAAAACAAAAGCAAATAGAACTAATTACATACATATGCAAGCATGACACTATAGAAATTATCAAAATATCCAGGCACGGAGAAGATTTAGCCTTAGGCCCGATTGAACCATGGACGTAGTAAGCTTTACGGCCCGGTGATTGCTCTATTTGTTGCCCCACGTTCGGTCGAATGGAGCCCGGAGCTTGCAAAACACTGCCTTTGACCTCCCCCCTCCCCCTCACGATTTCTACTTTCCCTCTCTCCGCATTCCATACCTAAAGCCATTATGGTCGAACTCATCAACCCACCGGAAACTCGCGAACTACTCCCTCCCCTCCTCGCATGCCTCCCACTAGCCTTCGTCTCGCCCCGCGCACCCCCAGCTCTGTTACCACTTCTCTCCCCTATTCTGCGCCAACGAGTCGGGGTTCTCAGTTCGCTATCCACATCTTCCACTGAATCATGGCTGCAGCTACTGTGCTGGGATGCTGGGAAAGCAGAGCGGCTACAGAGGGTCATTGATGGTGCCACATTTGAACCACACCCTGTATCGGGTGAAATCGAGCTTCCGGATGAACTTCCGGTGACATACAAACGGGTCGACGATGAGACTCTCAAAGCACAAGTTCCACTCCCCGAATACAGTTTGATGGTGGTCTATTTGTGGTGCCCGACAGACGAGGAGGGAGGTGGCCGTGGCTGGCGAGTCGCGGAACTTTTGCCACGTGACGGACCTGCTGAGGATGACGATACCTGGGCTTCTTCCATCGGCGAGGCCAATGTTCAGGCAAAGGATCAGCTCCTGGCTGAGACACTGAAGGCTGCCGAGGAGGAGAAAGCCCAGGAAAACAGCATGGAGAACGACGACGACGACGACGACGACGATGATTACTGGGCTCAGTACGACTCCACACCCGGAGCTAAGACCCCCGCACCGCATGCTGGTTCATCAAAGCCCGGTCCATCTGGCTTATCTGAGCAGTCATATTTCTCGCAGTACGGCGATGTGCAGCCGGCTATGGATAATCATGATCCCACGGAGGAGCAACCGGAGGTTGGACCGTCATCGCTCAACGGAGATATGCTGGCCAATCTCTTGCGACGACAGGTGAACGCAGTCAATACAGACGACGAGCCCCGCACCAATGGATATTCCCCAGACCATATCCCCAGTGATAAGGCCGCACAAGATTTGAGTCACCCGCGGCCGGCCTCTGCATCTTCCGGTAGCTCTGATGCTATCGCTAAACTGGAGCACGAGGCAGAGAGCCAGTCCACCTACGAGGTGGGAGTGAAGCAACATATCGGTACGAGCATCAAGAGCTTGTTCCGCTTGGCAAAGGCCACTGGAATGCCACGGGCGGAGTTCCAGGCTTTAGTCTCGACGGAATTGGAGCTTTTGAATATTACGGACGATGATTAAGGCCATAAGATACTTGAGTGATACCCATGAACCATAATATTTGCTTGAGATTGCGAGTTCATATTTGGCCAATCCGGTTTGCATATGTTGGCAGCATTATTGGGAGTGAATGGTTTGCTTTGGGCATTTGAGCTTGTTCTGTGTCAAACACATAACCAATAAAACCACAATAAATCAATACATATGTCCCATACCACCTTCTTTGTGCCCTATCCTAACGTATAATTTGAGGCTGTGAAAGAAATCCTGCACGGGTGACGCCATTTCGCAAAGGATACCCGATGAGGCGTAGCGCATCCCAAAAGTACCTACGTAGGCAACCTTGGAGACACCGTTGATGCTACCCAGGTGCCCAGTTGTGGCTAAGTTAAAAGGCTTATTTTAATTATCTGTGTATCGTTCTAACCAATTCAAGCAACTAGAATAATCTGAGGCTGAGCTCACTCCACCCCGCTTTTACAATGTTGTAGACTTAAAAGGATGTTGGCCCCCAGACGCTTACGAGAAGACCAGCCTATTTTCTTTCATTCACACAATGGCCGATGAAAAGAGACAAAATCCGTTCGAGCGTTTGGGATACACTGATGAAGGGGAGGTAGCAGACCACCCTCCAGTATACACATACACTGCCGAGCCCTCTACGCAACCAAGCCGGTCACCACCTATACAAGAAACCCCAGCATACACAGCAGGACCCTCGACACAACCAAGCAGATCACTACCAGTTCAAGAACCCCCTTTTCAAATAAGCCACAAACCAATCGCAATTCCAGCCCTCACCTCCTCCTCTGATTCTCCATTCATTCGAGCATATCCACCCATCCTAAAAAACCACCAACTCCCCAAGGAATCCTTCCTTGCCTTCCTCGACCAACTGAACAAAGACATAGCCGCCAGTCCACCCCTCCAGGTTCTAGATGTCACGGGCGGAATCTTGAAGTCCGTCCCAATCTTATTCCCACTACATTGGATTGGGAATGCTGTCAGCGGACTCGCAAATCTGAGTAGCCAAGGCATGTCCAAAAGCCGTACGGACTCATCCATCAAGCAAGCTAATCGGGACATCTTCGGTCCACGCGGCTTGAGAGTTGAAATTGCAAAACTGGATGCGTTGGCACATGTCGCTCAGTTCCCTATGTTGGATTCTCAGGGCAAGATCAATCAGCAGGCGCCTCTGTTTTTACAACTCCAGTACGAGGCGTCCATGGCCAGCACTGCCGCAAATGAAAGGCAGCAGCAGGAAATTGATTTGCAGCAGAGGATTAAGACTTTACAGCCCTGGATTGCTGAACTTGAATTTGAGGTGTTGCCTTGGTCTTCCAAGTCTAAGTTGACGCGGCTCAACGCCTCGTTGAAGAAGTATAATGAGCCGAGGGACGAGGAGAGGAGAGGCATGGGTTTCCGAGACCGGGAGAGTAGAGGCATGCACAGGAAAGGCGATGTTTACAGTCAAGAGGCCAAGCAGGAAGAAGCTCCTTTCAAGAAGGCCTTGTGGCTTGTCATTCGGGAGGTTGAGATAGATGAAAGGCGTTAATCTGGCTTGATCATACTCCGGATCCAGTGCGATATACCTCGCCACATTGAACATTTGTCAAGGGCAGACACAGTTGGCTACGAACAACCAGTGGAAGTTGACCAAGAATACGAATGTCTGAAGAGGAACGCGGGGTTTATACTCGCACGTGGGAACGTCGCGCCCTCAGTCATTAGGCTACTGCTGTACGCAGCACGTTGGGAAGGAATGTGTCCAGTCGAACTACATCTTGCATTTCGGCACTGTCCAAACCCAAATTGGCTGACCGTGACAAGGGACAACTAGTTAGAGAGACTCTTTGTTAACTAGTAAAGCTCCAGACCAGTAATATTTCAATGATAATATACCACAACTTTCCGTTACGAATATCTCTCCAATTAGATGTGAGAAAAGACAACGAAAAGTTGGTCAAAGGAGAGATCACATGTTCCTGCATGAATCAGTCGGCATGAAAAGATTAATAGGACACCATACGTGTAAATTAATAATAAACTCGAACTTCCAAGGTTCAATTTCTTTGAATAGTCGACTCGACAGTTGAAGGAAACAAGGAGTGTACGTGCGAATCACCCTTTTTGTGGATTTGTATACGTAGAGCCGCCTGGGCCACCGCCCTACCCGGAAACCAAGAAGACACGCAACGCTCTACTGTCAACCCCCTCCACATCTCCTTTCCTTTCTCATAGATTTCTTGGCCTCAATTGTTGGGTGCCATGCTTATTTGGTGATTCTAGTAAGCTTCCTCTTACTCTCTATTGCGGTCTTTTTTTCTGTTTTGTTGATGTTTACTGACACCCTCGGAAGTCTATTTGGCTATAGGTAGTTTCTCGGTCGCTCTCTACATTTCATACTTTCAACATGTCGTCCCCTTCGCCCTCTCTGCGGAAGAGAGGCGGAAAGAAGGATGTTCCCACCGCGTTGCCCTCTGAGGATGACTCGACTCCCGTGTCGGTGCCGGTCAAACAGAAGTCGGAATGGGACTATTGGCTGGCCATAGTGATTCTCACCCTTCTGGCTTTCGCAACGCGGTTCTACCGACTCGATTTCCCTAACGAGGTTGTCTTCGATGAGGTTCATTTCGGCAAGGTATGAGATCCAATGCGTCTTGTGGCGGCTTAATCTCTACGACAAAGGTGCCCCTTTTACTAACATTGATAATACTTGGCTAGTTCGCTTCTTACTACCTTCAACGTACCTATTTCTTCGATGTACACCCGCCTTTTGGAAAGCTGTTGTTTGCCGCCATGGGCTGGCTCATTGGATTTGATGGAAGATTTCTGTTCGAGAACATTGGCGATTCTTACATCGAAAACAACGTGCCCTACCTCTCCCTCCGTGCCATGCCAGCTACTCTCGGTGCCTTGACAATTCCTGTCGTGTTCCTTATTATGTGGGAGTCTGGCTACTCTCTACCAGCCTGTGTGCTGGCTGCCGGTCTGATGGTGTTTGACAACGCCCATGTGGGTGAGGACCGTCTGATCCTTTTGGACTCAACCCTCGTGCTGTCAATGGCACTCAGTATTTTGTGCTACGTCCGTTTCTACAAGTTGCGTCACCAACCATTTAGCCGGAAGTGGTGGAAGTGGCTTCTCCTGACCGGCTTCTGCATGAGCTGTGTCATCTCCACCAAATACGTCGGTTTCTTCACTTTCGTGACTATCGGCGCGGCAGTCCTCATCGACTTGTGGAACCTCCTGGATATCAACCGTGAGCAGGGAGCGCTGAGCATGATCAACTGGGGCAAGCACTTCATTGCTCGCGCTGTTGGGTTGGTCGTGATCCCCTTCATGTTCTACCTGTTCTGGTTCCAGGTCCACTTCGCTATTCTCAATCGGTCTGGCCCCGGCGACGACTTCATGACTCCTGAATTCCAGGAGACTCTTAGTGATAACCAGATGACCGCTCAGTCCGTTGGCATTCAATACTTCGACACCATTACCATGCGTCACAAGGACACCAAGGTCTTCCTCCACAGCCACTGGGATAAGTACCCCCTACGTTATGACGATGGTCGTATTTCCAGCCAGGGCCAGCAGGTCACTGGTTATCCCCACAACGACACCAACAACCAGTGGCAGATCCTGCCGGCCGAGCCTCTGGTTGATCCATCTCAGCCCAAGAGCGTGCGCAACGGCGACGTGATCCAGCTTCGCCATGTTGGAACCGAGAGTTATCTCCTTACTCACGATGTTGCGTCTCCCTTCTTCCCCACCAACCAAGAGTTCACTACAGTCTCTCAAGAACTGGCTGATGGTGAGCGCCACAACGACACCCTGTTCGAGCTCAAGATTGAGTCCGGCAAGGCTGCCCAGGAGTTCCGTACTCTTGCCAGCCTGTTCAAGTTGGTCCACGTTCCAACCAGGGTCGCTTTGTGGACTCACACCACCCCGCTGCCAGAGTGGGGTTACAAGCAGGCTGAAATTAACGGTAACAAGAATATCCTCCAGTCCAGCAACGCGTGGTACGTTGAGAACATCGAGAACTTGGAGGAGGATAGTCCTCGTCTTGTTAAGGAGGAACGTAAGGTCAAGACGCTGCCTTTCCTGCGCAAGTACTTCGAGCTGCAGGGTGCCATGTTCCACCACAACAACGCTCTGACCAGCAGCCACCCCTATGCCACCGAGCCCTTCCAGTGGCCCTTCCTGTTGCGGGGTGTGAGCTTCTGGACCAAGAACGATACTCGTGAGCAGATCTACTTCTTGGGTAACCCCATTGGATGGTGGATTGCCAGCAGTATTCTGGCTGTGTTTGCCGGCATTGTTGGTGCTGATCAGCTCTCGCTGCGCCGCGGTGTTGATGCATTGGAAGAAAGTAAGTCGAAAAATCAAACATCCTGCTCTTATTCCGTTCTTTTGCTTCGGTAATCTAACCCACGTTCATCAGTTTGGGGCCCCGGTACGCGCTCGCGTCTGTACAACAGCACCGGGTTCTTGTTCCTGTGCTGGGCTGCGCACTACTTCCCCTTCTGGCTGATGGGTCGCCAGCGCTTCCTGCATCACTACTTGCCCTCACACCTGGCCTCTACCATGGTGTGTGGTGCACTGATTGAATTCATTTTCAACCTGCAGCCGCTCGATCCCCGCACTGCACTCCCCCCTGTGGATGACCCCTCGGGCAAGTCCAAGGCGCGGTCGCTTAGCAGTCTGCGCCGGTTCATCACGGCCAAGGAACGCATGGGCTGCAAGTCGCTCATCGCGGGCTGGATCGCCACCCTTGTTATTCTGGCTGCCACCATCTGGGGCTTTGTTTTCTATGCGCCCTTGACCTACGGTACCCCCGGCCTTGATGTGGAGGGCGTCAATGCGCGCAAGTGGTTGAACTATGACCTGCACTTCGCCAAATAGACTCGCTCGTGGCCCCTTGGCCCAATCCGAGCGAACAGACGCATCTCGAGACGATGGGCCCAACTGAAATTGCGACTTTGCAATTTTTGTAAGATAACTTATAATCCGTGGTAAAAGGTGGGGGGAGAGGGTGTTTTTTTTTTGTCCGATTGGAAACATGATGGAGTAGTGATATCTACCTTTGGTGTCATTTGGAACCATCGTGGATGTATGTGCCTGTATGTGCGGTCATTTGAGTTCTCTTTTTCCCATCCCGATGTAATACATCTTTCGTGTCCATCAGAAGTTCTCAGTCGAGCCTTGTGGCACTATTGGTGGTACAGGATTATCAGCCGACCGTGTAAGCTAGTCTCCGATACATCCAATGTAAATTTCAATTGCAGATGAAGATATGTATGTGGATAAGCGGATACGTTAGATAGGAGATGTATGCAAGTAGAATGTGCCAATGTCGATCGTGATCGACTTCACGTGATCGATGATCGGTGACATGTGCGCGTCGCATTGGAGGGGAGGGGATTTCGTCAATACTTAGCCAAGTATACAACATTCAATATTGGGTACTTTTTAAAATGGATTCTTTTTTTCATTAATAACTATGATAAGTGTACATTACCTACATATGTCTAGACCCAACTCGCATTTCAACATTCCAATTGAGTTTGCCTTTTTTTATAAATTATGTTTTATTTTTAGACGGCAAAAAAAAGTAAAACAGCCCACTGTTTATGTACGAAGGGAGTTCTTACTATGTATAGTAAATGGTTTCACATTGAACTGCCATGAGATCATTGGGAGAGCCCAACTTTTAGAGCACATAATCACACGGAATAATTAGGATTATAATTAGGATCATAATTAGGATCGTAATATAATAGGATCATAATATAACAGGATAATATCAATAATAGTCATATTTCCTCAGACCATATCTGGACCACTCCGGATACCAAAGGGACTAGACTGTCAGTAGCGTCTTCTCTTTTTTTGCCTCTCTTTTGACACATTCTTTCTCTCTCTCTCTTCTCTCTCTTCTCTCTTTTCCTTTTTTTTCATTCTACACTCCCTTGGTAGTTTCTAGTTCCAGGGTCTCTCCACTCCCCACGTCTCCAGTTTTTATTGGTGTTTTCTTTGAGAACTGAAACGGACATTTCCGCGTCTCACCCGACACCTATGGTGGGTTCAATTCTTTCCCAGAAAAAAAAGAAGCGCACATAGTCAAGGCCCTGCAAGGAATTCGAGCATAATTATCCAATTTGTTGTGAAATGCCATCAGATCGGACAGGCGCAAGTCAACCCACTCTGTGGATTCCTGCCGGGCCTTTGATCGGCCGCTAGATAAACCCGTGTTGTGCTTCTTCTCTCCCTGGAAGCTTCTGACTGACTTCAATTCTTTCTCAGCTTAACCCCTAAGCTTTCCAAAATTGCTTTGTTTATCCTCGATCAATCATCATACCTGTCTATTTAGACCGATCGCTTTTTCGGCATCACTTACATTCGACACATCACGCTCAGAAGGCGACACACACCCCCCAAAGATCGTCCAAACCTTAATGAGAGAGCTGATTTCGCAAAGACGCACTGGCCGGTTATTCAAATACCAGTCTGATCTGTTAAACCACCTGCTTCCATACCAATGAAACTGCCTAAGAGCTTTACCAGGCGGAAATCGTCCGGCAATGTTCTAGAAGAAGACGTGGAACCCCCTCACCAATCCTCCTTTCGAGTCTTCGAGCGCCCGGGGCCTCATCGATCCATGACGGATGGAGCGGTACTGACCAAGCCACTGAGTGAAGGTCATACAGTACCGTCGATGGAGGATTCTGATAACATCTTTGCGGAGAGGCAGCGACCCCTGGACAAGAGCCGGTACGATCGCCCCTCGACCATGGATTCTCTCAGGAGACGGCTGACTGGGAACCACGATAGTGGTAACTACGAAAGTTCTACGTCAACCAGGCTGAGCTCGTCATCCACCCTCCCCTCGTCGACCGAAGTCCCGCCGCCCGACGAGACCCAATCCCCGCATTCCAGAATCCATGATGTTCCAGCTCCGCCACTCACGAGTGCACTGCGCGCCGCAGGACGAACCTTCTCGTTCGGTGGTCGATTCAGCAAGTCAGGACCGCATGTTCCTCGCCAGCAAACACCAGATGCCGCAAAGAATCGCCCGATGACGGGCAGCACCGACAGCACGGCCACTCCACCCAAGCTGCCCGATACAGACTTCGCTCTCACCTCGCATGACGATTTCAATACGATGTTTGATAATATGGGTACACGAGAGGGTTCAGCAATGCGGGGAGCATCCCCTCACCCGGCCAAGGTAAGAGCTACAATATCGTTCAGGTAAGGATGCAGTGCTGACAGTATCACAGTACTCCTCGTCTCCCCCGACGCATGTTCTTCCCGAGTTCCAAAACAGCAGAGCTGCCCCACCCGCTGCGATTAATACAGATCGATCGACTGCGGTCGAATCACCCCCTTACTCTTGGGATCGTCGCCCGTCCGAGGAGGGCTTGCTACGTGGCCCGCATTCTCCACCGCTGAACCAGAGCCACTCCGCCCTCGATACAGTTGTTGGATTCCGGAAGCTTTCGCCATCTCCCAACCAGTTTGCCGAGGCCACTACTTCACATCGTTCCTTGGAGCGCCCGCGCGGGACGGAGAGAGGAGGACTGCGGAGGAGTGGGATATATTCGGCCAAGGGGGAATCCGCAACTTTTGATGATGAAGATGCCAAAATGGTCCGACAATCTGTCGTATTCGGCAAAGAAAGCACTTCGCCGTGGGCTGAGGGTAGCCCCTCTGGTGGAACCCCGTTGATTGATAAAGGCAAAGCACCCAATTACTCTGGTCAAGTGAACCCAGAACCTGATAATATGTTCCAATACCGCCGTTCGCCCGCTCCGGCCGACAGATTGGACCCCTCCATTGCGGATCACGCGCGGTTGGCTGTGCAGTACACGGATAGCCTTCCAAAGTCAACCTCTCCGGGCAACAAGGTGATGACTCCATCTCAGTTCGAGCACTATCGCCAGCAACAAGAACTTCGACGTTCCAACAGCGATGCGACTAGGAGTGATGACGAGTCTGATCACGAGGAGTCTGATGAACAAGATGAGGTGGAGAAGCAGCGTGAGACGGAACGTCAACGACGAAAGCAGGAGGCTCATCTCTCTGTTTATCGTCAGCAAATGATGAAAATCACAGGTCAACAAGCCCCCGTTCAATCGCTACGTCCGGTCATGAGTGGAGCTAGCAACAGCACGCCCAACTTGAACCCCAGTCGCCTGTCTGTACTAGGGGCAAAGTCCAACAGTGGGAAGAGCAGCGAGGAAGAGGATGACGATGTGCCACTCGGTATCCTGGCCGCGCACGGTTTTCCCGGTCAGAACCGCCCACCAACCCGCCTGAACAATGTCAGCTCCAATCCCAACCTCCGTGCATCCATGCAACCGCCGTATATATCATCTTCCAGCTCTGTTTCAGGTGTAGACCCCAACGGCAGCCGGGGTAGTCTGCCACCTTTTGCCAGGAACTTGCCGCGAGATCCTTATTTCGGTGCAGGTCTGGTTAACAACGCCAACCGTGAATCGTTGGCGTTCGGAGGTGGTTCAGTATATGGAGGATCTTCGTCCCCAGCGCCTCCCCCTGGAGGTCTCGTCGGTGTTATAGCAAATGAGGAGCGGGCGCGCGCGATGCGCAGAGGAAGTCCGAACACACAAGCAATGCACGAGATGGCAGGATTGCCTCGGCCATACTCGATGATGCCGCAGCAACAGCAGCCGCAGCAGCAAAATATTACCGCTGGGGAACAGGCTTCTATCCAGCTATCGCAGCAGATGGCCACCATGATGCAGATGCAAATGCAGTGGATGCAGCAAATGATGCAAATGCCAGGTGGGCAGGGTCAACCCATGATGCAAGGCATGCCAATGCCTCCTATGATGATGCCTGGTGGAGCAATGAACACGCCTCCCATGGGCCCCCCATCTATATCGGGACCTCAGTCCATAGCCGGCAACCCGAACTTGCGGCCGATGTCCATGCCTGCAACATCCGTTCTCAATATGCCGCCCTCGCTGCCCAACATCGATCAGCGTACGATGAGCATGTTAGACCCCAACATTTCAACTCGTAGGACTGGCTCGCCCATGCCGAATCTGTCCGGCACCCCATTCCGCCCCAGCACCGGATATGCTGCTTCAATCGCTCCGTCAGAGCGCAGCAATGTCGGCATGGCGCCTCGTTACCGGCCAGTGTCCATCATGCCGTCCGAATCGAATTACGCAGTGGCATCCTCAACAAACAAGCCTTTTGGTGACGAAAACCACAACCCGTCCATGCCGTTGCCTCAGTCTCACATTCCGAAATCGCATCTCGCCACTGTGACCGTCCGACCCGTTTCACGGAGCAATGACCTTGAAAATAAAAAGCCCGCCCCCGAAGATGAAGAGGATGACGACGAGGCCTGGGCTGACATGGTGAAGAAACGCGAGAAAAAGAAGAGCAACTGGAAGATGAAGCGAGGGACGTCTTCGTTCGGGGATCTACTGAGCGCTGTGCACTAAGCCCCTGGTTCTGTCTTCCTCTCCTTTCCTTCTTTCGCCCTTCCTCAACTCAACCATGAAAGCGTGATTGCATTGCATTTGAAAAGAAATATGTCCGCGTTACTCTGTATAGCCTGCCCTTTTCTTCTCTGCATTTCCATTTCCGCTTGCGTTTCCTAATATCCCCCGCTCCCTCTACGACATGACATATGACGCACATACCATCAACTCAGAGAAGGGCTTGCCGTGCCAATTGGATATGTCGGCTCGATAATGCATCCCTAGCCCTCATCTCACATCTTGTATGTCACTCCTCATTCCCTATGCCGCCTTTTCTAGTGTCACCGTGTCCTGGTCATTCCGGTCTGGGCAGGAGGGATTCGACATTTACAAGTATGAATACATATGCTTTCCTTGTGCTTTTAGTCAAGCTTTGGTCTTTGAGTTCTGTCTTTTTCTTTTTTTTTTTTTTTTTTTAAACCTGCTTTCTTATGATATCGGCACGAGAAGAGACATGGCGTTATTTATCCGATAGGTTCCCATCTTTGTGTTTCTTTTTTTCCATCTGTTATTGTGTCTTTTCATTTTGCATCGTCTTCTCGTCAGAGCGCTCTGCCTCTACTCGACTCTTTTAATATATTTCGGGCCTTGTGGCCGTTATATCGGCTCTTCCCAAGGTTCTTTCTTTCTTTTGTTTAGGTTTTCATGTTTTCTGCTTCAGTGGGAGTGTATACCTTACCATAGCGTATATCTGGGTTGAGACCGGCTTTCCCATACACTACCATTAATATATGTTACATGTAATATCAAGACGATGATTTGCGTGCAATGATGACTTTGAGTGGGTTTAGTAGGCCAAGTGTCTCGGACTTCCAAGGCATATTGCAACTCAATTGATAGGAAATTCTAGCAAACATAAATGCATTAGTTGGATGATCGACTCTAGTGAACAAAAACAATACAATACATTAAGTCGTAGATGTTGAGAGATACCCTCTGCATTCGATTAACAAAGGTAAAGAACGTGTAATGTGGAAATTATGCCACAAACATTGATTTGGAAGCACCAATACCAACAAAGTGAGTTAAAGTGAGACGAAGATGAAGTAACCCGTCACTGATCGCAAGTATGGAGTTCATATATGATCACGTGATGACATACTTCGGATTGGTCACATGATCGATATCGATATCGATATCGAGATGTATCACGATATCTTCATCACTCAACATCGACATCGAGCAAAGAGACGGTTGCGAAGCCAGGGCCCAAATAACGCTTTAAAGTGTACCTCCCCGCTGGGTTCCTTTGTTTGAACTTATTTGCTATCAATAAGCATCCTCAAAATCGTATTCCGAGGACACGTGCATTTGATCGCCATTGTCTTCACAAGTCCCAAAGAACTGGTCACCTATAAATAGGCCTTGAAACTACGTCCTGCCTTTGACCCTTGTCAATTTCTCACTTTTGCAACCATTTCTTGGATACATACATAAAATCTTATCATCGATACCGATACAGGTGGTCGCCCTCAAACCTCCTGATTCTTTCTTAAAAAAAAGCTTTCTCGCCACCATGAACGCTCCAGATCGGTAAGTGCATGCCAGAATTTCTTAAATTCCTCGAGTTTTATTCAATTTAAGCCGCTCCGGTGAAGTTGGTTATGCCTTGAATACTGGATCTTCGATTTCGGTTGGATATCATGTGTACCGCAGAGCATATTCCCCGGATTCTGGGTCAACTATGCATTCTCCTTTTTCTGTATCTTGCCAATGTGGGAAGGAAGGAAGCACTCGGACCGCGTTGATGGCACTTTCCTCGCACTGTTGCTCCTGCCCCGGCGAGCATTGCATCACGTCTATTTATCCCCTCTCCTCCACTGTCAACACCTTTCCCGTGTCATCCTCTTGTTTACCGTCAATTCTTTGTTTCACCATCTCTGTTTTGTGGAGTCATGCCTCAGAGCCCTGCTATTATCACGGCCACTGCGGCCATCGCCAGAGAGCGTGCTGGTCGCCGCGGCCAGGGTCCCCATCCACGCCATCCTCGTCCTATGCTCCCTGATGATGCCCTTGACGTGTCAGTTGAATAAGCTTACGAATCAGGGCTTTTGTTCCCTTGTCCTTTGTCCTTTTGCTGCCTCTTCATGTCTCGTTTTTGGTATGTGGGAACCATAAGCTGACCAGGTCGTGAATATAGGTATGAAGCCATCCTGCTCGCCCCTGGCGAGAGCAAGATTGATGTCGAGATTGACACCCGTAAGTCATTTTAATCGATATAGATCGGCCAATTTTACTGACTGTATCTCTCTAGGTCTTCCTTCCGCCGCCATATTTACCTTCCGCAAGGAAGATCACACCCTTGGCAACATGCTGCGCCACCGTCTCCTGAAGACTGCCCATGTGATCTTTGCTGCCTACCGCGTAAGCAACCTGCTATATACACATGGTGTTCTTTCTTGAAAGATACTAATATCGATCTATTAGGTCCCTCACCCGCTGACCCCCGAGTTCCAACTGCGTATTCAGACCGACGGTGAAGTCACCCCCCGCCAGGCTGTTATTAACGCCTCCGAGGCTCTGATTAAGGACCTGGGTATCTTGTCTCGGGAATTCACCAAGGAGTACGAGCTCCGCAAGGCTGCCAACGCTGCCAACCAGCAACAGCAGAATACTGCTGAGTAAATGGTTGTGAGCGACTCCCAATCATTATCTATGCTCTTTTCTTAGGTTTGAAAATCCGGCGCATGGAGCAGTTATGGTCTTTGATGCCTTGCATTTGTTTTGGTTTTTTCGTTTTCGATCTGGGGATTTATGGATGGCCCTTTTCCTCGCTGGCCCCTTTTTTTTTTTTTTTTTTTTTCTTTTGCTTTCTACTGTCTCTGAGACACTTGGTTATACCATGCTGATTCCCACAAATCTACAAGCTGAAAGCTTTAAATCAACGCTTGTATCGATCAATCAAGTATTCTAGTCGTAGATCCAAAAATATTTCGGCATATGACTAAGCGCCCGATGAGGCTAGCCCAGGTTCCTCCGCGTCCAGCAACGGCGTCATTCGCATCCTCCTGAGAGTCAACTCACTTACCATTTTGCATTCGTTTTCCCGTCAATTTCTTGTTGGCCTTCTTGCATTTAATTTGCTCATGCGAGCGTGGTTTCTGTGATGTACTCCTCGTCGAATAATTTCCTCGGGGGTGGTGCCAGTGGCCGTCCCGGCCAGGCACCATTCATGCAACAGCAACAGCAACCCCCCTATTCGCAATTCTCCCAAGCCCAGCAGCCGCCATCAATCCAACAACCTCAACCGACTGGATTTGCCCCACAGCCTACTGGTCTCGCTCCACAGCCGACCGGATTCGCCGGCCAGCCCTCCCCGTTTGGTAACTCGCAGCTACAACCTCAAGCCACCGGATTCCCCGCGGGACAGATCCAGCCGCAATTCACTGGCTTCCCCGGCGCCGCGCCCCAGCAACCCCAGCAGCAGCAAGCGCAAAGCTTCCAACCACAATACACCGGGTATCCTCCCCAGAACCAGGCGCAGCAGCCGCCTCCGGTACCACAGATACCAACTCGATTCAAGACCTCAAGCGATATCGCGAACTCTTTCCAAGATGCTGCTGGCTCTGGGGCACCTCCTCAGGTGCCGCCAAAGACAGGGTCAAAGATCCCGAATATTCGGCTGTCTTTTATCACGGCGCAGGATCAGGCGAGGTTCGAGCAGCTCTTTAAGTCTGCGGTTGCCGATAGCAAGACAATGGATGGTGGGTTTCCATGCACCAAATGAATCACATGCTATGGCTTGTATAATAGTACTAATGGCTTGCAATAGGCGATAAAGCAAGAGATCTTTTGCTGCGCTCCAAGTTGACGGGCGCTGATCTTTCTAAGATCTGGGTTTTGTCTGATACCACCAAATCCGGACAGTTGTTCTTCCCCGAGTTTGCATTGGCCATGTACCTGTGCAATATTCGTATCACCGGTCGCGAGCTTCCTTCTTCCCTACCCGAGACGATCAAGAACGAGGTTTCTAGTATGGTTGACATCATTTCGTTCGATGTCCCCGACACACAGGCCCCGGCCCAACAGCGAACAAATGTCCCCAACTTTGATGCGCCTCTCATGGAGAACAAGTCGACGCCCCCAATTGTTCAACAGCCCGTCCCGCAGCAACCGAACAACGCCCAGCTTCTGTCACAGCTGACAGCACAGCCTACTGGGTTCTTCCCTCAGCAGACAGGTATCCAGCCCAACCCGACGGGCTTCCCTGGTCAGAACCAGTCTCAGTTCCTCCAGTCTCAACAAACCGGTTTCATGAATAACCCGCAGGCTACTGGATATACTGGTCCTCGGCCTCCGATGCCGCCTATGCCTACTGGTTACGGGTCGAACCTCAGCCCCGCCCAGACCGGTGGAATGCAAGGCCTGGGTGTGCAGCCTACGGGCCTGACGGCACAACCTACGGGAATGCCAGGTCAATGGGGATTCATCAACACACCAGCGCAGGGTTTGCCCAACATTGAGGCTATGAAGCAACAGCTTATGCCACAGCCTGGGCGTGAAGGTGGTTTCAGTGCGGTTGGCCTTTCAGGAAATGCTACAGTTGCCTGGGCAATTACAAAGGAGGAGAAGAAGATTTACGATGATCTTTTCCGCGCATGGGATGGTTTCCGCAAGGGCTTCATCAGTGGTGAGACTGCCATCGAGATCATGGGCCAAAGTGGCTTGAATAGAAAAGACCTGGAACGGATCTGGACCCTGGCTGATCCCCATAACCGCGGCCGACTCAACATGGATGAGTTCGCCGTAGCTATGCACATGATCTACCGTGCTCTGAACGGATACCCAGTTCCAAACCGTCTACCACCCGAGCTTGTTCCTCCGTCCACGAGACACCTGAATGACTCTATCGGTACAGTCAAGTCTCTTCTCTCTCAGGATGCTGAAACTCGCAAGGCTACTGGTGCGTTCCTGCAGCCGCAGAAGACTGGTGTCAGCTATCTTAAGGATCACTCCTTCCGTGGTGGTGCAGGAGGCGCTTCTGCAGCCAACCGCAAGGATGCGACAATGTTCAAGAACAATGACTCCGCTGGTGGGTACCGCTCTAGCGCACGCCGTCGCGTTGGTAACCAGGCTCGTACCCCGTCACCTGCCGCCTCTGGCGCGTCAGACGAAGAATATTCTGTGGAACAGTTGCACAAGAAAATTCGCGAGGCCAAGGTCATGATTGACGCTGCCGACTTCCAGGACGAGAACCGAGCTGAGGATGATGATGCTCTAGATCGCCAGGATCGCCGCGAGGCAGAGAGTCTCATGGACCGTATCCGTCGTGTACAGGACGACCTCGATACCCACCCCAATGCTTCGTTCCGTCAAGTGGACAATGGGGCAGATCGCAGAGCTCTTCGTCGCCAGCTGCAGTCTTTTGAAGATCAAGTTCCTCAGGTTGCATCTGATGTGCGTCGCCTTGAGCGTGAGATCGCGGACGCGAAGCTTGAGCTCTTCCGTCTCAAGGACGCCAAGGCACACCCCGGTGGCGCCTCTAACATCATTGGCACTGGCCCTGGCGGCACTGTGACCGAGGCAGATCGAATCAAGGCCCGCGCGCGTGCGCGTATGCAAGCCCGTGCTGCAGAGCTTTCTGGTCGCCCCGCTCCCGCGACGGAAGAGGACGATGGCCAGGCGGCTCGTCGTCTGGAGTCGGAGACCACTAACGTGAAGGCTGAGCGTGAGCGCAACGACACTATGACTCGTGATGTCGAGGAAAGTGTGCGTGATTTCGCTCGCAGCTTGGAGGATAGTCTCCGGGAGGAAGGCCAAAACTCCACACGTGAGCATGAGAAGCGTCGTTGGGAAGATGCCTTGGGAGTGGAGGACGTCATCCGCGACTTCATCTACGACCTGAGCCGCAGTGCGCGAACTGCAAATGTTCGCAAAGAAGAGTATGTTGTTCTTGTCAATTATGATAAGTGTTCAATGCTGACAATTCATAGGCGAGGGAGACCTTCCCCTGAGGTGCAGTCTCGAGCATCTCCAGCGGCCGAATCTACTGCTGCCCGTCCTTCAATGCCCCAGTCCGTGGACTCGTCAAGCTCTCTTCCTGGTAACACACATGAAGATCGCGTGGCAGCTGCTCGAGAGCGTGCACAGAAGCGCATTGCTGAGCGCATGGCTGCTGCTGGCTTGAAGCCAAATGATGCTAGCGAGACTCTTACGCAACGCCAGGAGCGTGAGAAGAAGGAGCGCGAAGACCGTGTCAAACGTGCCGAGGAAGAGGATGCTAAGCGGGAAGAGGAGAGACAGCGTCGCCTAGCTGAGGAACGGGGTGTCCCCAGTGATGCCGCTCCGAAGACTGCGGGCAAGAAACCACCACCAGCGCCACCCACCCGCAGGGCTCGTACGGATAGTGCCGGCCAAGCCGATGCCAAGAGGGCAGAAGAATCCGCTAAAGCGGACCAGGCTGCCCGTGAGCAGGCTATCAAGGAAGAGCAAGAGGTGCAGGAGGCAGAGACCAAGCGTCTAGAGTGAGTGGTCCACCCGATAGAGACAAATTAGTGGAGTTGGCTAATACATTTCTAGGAGCGAGGCAAGCCAAGCTGAGCTGGAATTACAACGGGAGAAAGATGCCCAGGCCGCTCGGCTTCGTGCCCTTGAGGAACAGGTTCGCCAGGGCAAGATCAAGAAGCAGGAAGAGAAGCGCCGCAGGGAAGAGGCTAGCCGACAGTCCAAAGAACAGGAAGCTACTCTTGCAGCCCAACGCGCTGAACTGGAGGCGGCTAAAGAACGCGAGCGACAGCTGCAGCTTGAACTCGAGGGTCTTGACGAGTCATCGTCTGATGACGAAGGCCCTGCGGATATTACGCCTCAGTACAGCACCCCGACCCAGAGCCAAATTCTCCCTACCCCGCCCCCCGTGCCCACGATAGCTATTCCTGAACCTCCTGCCCCCGAAAGCGTGCCTAGCGAAGTGAGCTCGCCCGAAAGCAGCCGTGGTGTTCCTGCCGCCGCGCCCGATGCTGAGTCCAAGAACCCGTACTTCAAGAATATGGGTCAGCCATCCGACCCCACCCAAGCGACCTCGCCGCCTACTACATCTCAGTCTACAAATCCGTTCCACCGCTTGACGCAGCAAGAGCCCATCAAGCCCACCTTCACCGGCGCAGCTCCCTTGGAACGCAAGACTCGTGCCCGCCCCGAGGAAGACGATGACTGGTCCGCTGCGGGCTCCGAGGCTGATTCGTCCGATGATGATGACGATCGTCCAACCGGCGGCAGCGCCAAACAACTTGCCAGCATCCTCTTCGGTACCATGGCGCCCCCACGTCCTCTGAGCGCCATGGATGAAGACAAGTCTGCCTCGAAATCCGCTACCCCGGTACAAGAAAGCCCTATTGCACCTCCGCCCCCACCCCCAGTAACTCTGCCTCCTGTCCCTGCTATACCAAGCCCTAGTGATGCCATCTCCCCACCACCTGCGCCATCTGCAGTGCCTCCCCCTCCCCCACCTCCACCTCCCCCGGGAGCCGGTGCTCCTTCTATTCCTCCGCCACCCCCACCCCCAGGAGGAGCTCCATCTGCTCCCCCACCACCCCCTCCAGCTGGCATCCCGCCTCCACCTGCTCCCCCAGCCGCGGCCGGTGGCTCTGGCGGCCGAGGCGCCCTCCTTGCGTCCATCCAACAAGGCATGACCCTGAAGAAGACTCAAGTGAATGATCGTAGCACAAGCTCGTCGGCTGGACGCGTGCTGTGAATATGGAATTGGAGAGTCTTTTTATTTTTTTGTTTTGAGAGCACATACTGTACAGATGCAGAGACGAGGGGAGAGACATGCCCGTACTTACGTAATTGGAGAGTAAGGTGACGAGGTCTATGGATAATGGGAGAGTAGTTAGCGAGTAGTTAGCTGTTTTTTGTACTTTTCTTGGAATACTCATCGGTTTTGTTTATTATCATCATACTCTACCTACATTGGTAACCGACTTGTAGGGTGTGCACTTTCAGGCTGCAGATATATTTGGATGTTTAGAATCTTCTTATCTGCCTTGTACTAAGCATCTAACACAATAGGAAAGTGGTAGCGCCTGGATAGGTTGAAGCATTATTTGGGAGCTATCTTTTTAGGGTTGTTGACATTGGCTCAGTATTAGTAGATTCTGACGGGGGACTATACAATCCAATTCAATATTTCTAGTGCCTAAAAGGTGTAGGCAGCACTAATGGAGAAGATGTGCGATTGCGTTAGAGCCCCCTGGCCATTGCGACGCCTAATCCCTGTCTGACATAGATTACGAGCCTCCTCCGTGGGTGCTCCGTACATATTCCGTAAATAGGGGTATCTTCGAACACTTGCTTTGAAATTTACTGTATTTCTAGAGTGAGTATATTGGTATAGCATGGAAAATTACTACAAATTTGAGAGTTATATACAGCGTGGGTATCTTATATGTGACCACATAACATATCCCGGCCCAACCCTCCAACCCGCTTCCTTGATAACAAGCTAGCCACTACGCAGCCTCCTGTCTCACATAAGAAGAACAGAACTCACATCCACATTGCATTGATGCAAATGGAACTGAGCAAAAAATGATGCTCCATCGCTCTGCTTCAGGGGAGGGACTGAATCACGCCAAAATTATTCACGAGGACCGTGTCGGGGTACTGAGTCGCTTGACCTTCCAATGGATCTTTCCTTTGTTGTCTGTAAGTCCTTGGCTTGTCCGACACATTCCTCTACATATAAGCCAAACAAAGCTCACCATGTCTTTACATTAAGATCGGATATATTCGACCTCTAACTAGAGATGATACCCGGAATCAGAATCCAACTCGTGCGGTTGCGGTACATCGAAATGTTGTCTTTGAATCCTTTCAGCGTGGTCTCTCTCATCAGAGAAGTTTCCCCCTTCTCCGGGCCCTACATACCACGTTCAGATTTGAATTCTGGCTTGCGGGAATTGCCATGTTGTTTGCAAACCTCCTGCAAGTGATGGCACCCTTGTTACTGAGGTACTTTCTAGTCAGTCTATCAGATGAGTCGTCATCCCACAGCAGCTCCTTGATATTTGTGGGTTTGCTCTTTACCACCCAGATGGGGATGAGCTTCGCTCTGGTACACTATCATTATCTGGGCCAAGTGGTCGGTAGCCAGGTTAAGGCTACTCTTACTGCGATGATCTTTGAAAAGTCTTTGAAGCTCTCTAACTGTGAAAGCCATAACTGGACTGATGGGAAGATATCGAACCTTATTACAGTCGATTCACAGCGCATTGAGAGCGCTCTTCTATATGCCAACATGATTTGGAGTGAGCCAGTGGCCGTGGTTGTGGCATTGGCAATCCTGTTCTACAATCTTACCTGGAGCGTGCTGAGTGGTCTCTTGCTCCTTGGCTTGGGTGCGAAAGGCCTGGAATTCAGCATGGGATGGCTGATGTCAAGACGTGTGGCAATAAATGCCGCGGTAGACCACAGGATATTACGCCTCCTTGAAGGACTGCGCAATATGAAATTTGTCAAGTTCCATGCTTGGGAGCCATATTTCCTTCGCCGAATCTCTGATGTCAGAGAGGCCGAGGTCCAGCAGCAACACAAGTTATTAAGCCTTCAAAGCACGATCATGTCCCTGTCCTCCTCGTTGCCTTCATATGCGGCCATGTTATCTTTCATTATATTCATGACATTCAATGGCCGACTGACTGCCGCAGAGGCATTTTCTTCCCTGGCGCTATTCAATTGTCTCCGCAAGCCTCTCAATATATTGCCCATGGTGCTTAACCAGCTCATCGATGCATGGGTATCCATACAACGCATTGAATCATTCCTGGAGGCGGAGGATCAGCAGAAGACAATCCAGTGGGATTTTGACGCCGTCAATGTCGTCGAAATAACCAATGGCTACTTTTCCTGGGATTATGCGGCCAATGGTGGTATCTCTTCTCCCAAAATTGACGAGGAGACTAGTCTGCTGGGCATGCATGATGAGTCCAGCATGCCAGGCAGTAAGACTTCGCCTTCAGCCCTAAGTAAAGTTGACTTGCAGGTCAAGCCAGGGGAGCTTATCGCAGTCGCGGGGCCTGTAGGCGCAGGCAAGAGTGCCCTTCTTCTCGCTCTTGCCGGTCAGATGAGCCAAACTCGAGGCCGTGTCGTACTAGGCGCTACGCGATCCTTCTGCTCCCAAGTGCCATGGATTGAAAGTGGAACTGTGCAGGAGAATATTTTGTTTGGCAAACCTCTACTACAGCCGTGGTATGACGAGGTGGTGGAAGCGTGCGCTTTGAACCCGGATCTCAAGACATGGGAGCATGGCGACGGTACTTACATCGGCGAGCAGGGTATCACACTGTCTGGCGGCCAGAAACAACGTATCAGTCTTGCGCGAACAATATACGCAGACACTGATCTGCTGCTTCTAGATGATCCTCTATCAGCTGTGGATGCGGATGTTGGCCAGCACATCTTCAACAAAGCTATTCTGGGCTTATTACGTGGGAAAACCTGCATACTGGTGACCCACCAAAGGCACATAATCACCCAATGCGATCGTATTCTGTGGCTAGAAAAGGGCCATATTAAGGCTCCTGAAAGTCTATCCGATTCATCGTCTCGAGATGAATTGCTGTCGCATCTGATACCTACCCAGGAGAATTACCAACGAAAGGACTCGAAGAACGCAGAGTACGGTGGATTAAGCAATGAAGTCTATGAAACAGTACATAGCGACCAAGATCATAGTAAGGAGTTATGGTGGATAAAATGACCTGCTATTAAGACTAACGGACTTCTTACAGACACAATGATCGACACTGAGACTCAACAGTCGGGTAGTGTGCACAGGTCTGTTTACAAAACGTACCTTTCTGCTTCGGGCTCGATCTTCCATTGGCCTATTCTATTCTCTCTATTAGTCGCCTCGCAAATAGCTGGAATCTTCACTAGCGTTTGGCTATCATGGTGGGTGGATAACACCTTAGGGTGGGATAACCGTGCGTATATAGTCGGCTATGTCATCTTCGGGGTAGTCCAGAGCGTTCTCGCGTGGGCGTATCTTAGTCGGGCTTCAATTACCGGCTTGCGAGCTAGTGACAATCTGTTCAAGGCAGCTCTCCAGCGTGTCTTGAATGCGCCCATGTCATTTCACACTGCCAATCCAGTCGGCCGGCTGATGAACCTGTTCTCCAGTGACGTGAGTCAGCTGGACAATGGTGTTAGTGGCTCAGTCCAAGCATTCTTCATGCTAGTCGGCATTGCTTTCTCTACATTCCTACTCATATCTGTTCAGTTTCCTCTCGTAAGTGGAATATAGCAGTTGCAGTTGCAGTTGCTATCTATCACATTGTCCTTGAACTAATATGTGATCTTTGCAGTTTGTATTATCCCTGCCAGTGATTTCCTTGGTCGTATACTATACTTCCAGCTATTATCGCGCTTCCAGGCAGGAGTTGAAGCGCTTTGAGACTGTATCACGCTCCACTGTTGCGGGGCATACCGTTGAGTGCATTGCAGGCCGTCAGACCATCCGAAGCTTTGGCGTCCAACCTATTTTCCAAAGTCGATTGGGTGTCGCCATCGATGAAGCAAGTAACTTTTCATATTTGATGTCAGCAAGCCAGCAGTGGTTGAATCTCCGACTGGATACACTGGGCAATGTTCTCATTCTGTTTGTCGGCGCCTTGATTGTCATGTCTGACAACTCCATTCCAGCAAGTATGTCTGGGTTGCTAATGACTTACGCCATCGCTGTCGTGCAAATAATCCCTGGCATTGTTTCCCAAACCGCTGAGATTGAAAACTCTTTTATCACGGTCGAGAGAATGATATATTATGGAAACGAAATTCCGACAGAGATGCCTGAGTCGGCTACTGTACCACCCTCAACTTGGCCGGAAACGGGTACGATAACCATGAAGGACGTCAACCTACGCTATCACAGTGATCATCCTCGAGCACTGCAAGATGTCAGCCTCACAATCAATGATGGAGAAAAGGTCGGTATCATTGGGCGCACCGGTGCAGGCAAATCCTCAATTGTGTCCGTTCTGTTTCGACTTTTCCCCCTGGAGCATGGATCGGTTGTCATTGACAAGATGAACATTGCGGATTTGAATCTTCATTCCTTGAGATCCAAATTAGCTATCATCCCACAAGACCCAACCCTTTTCCAGGGCACGGTTCGAACAAACTTAGACCCCTCTGGAGAATACCCAGATGATGTTCTCTGCGATGCACTTCGGAAAACCAGCCTTTATCCGCAAGTGCACCTTGACCGAGAAGTTCTACCAGATGGCAAGAACTTTTCTCTGGGTGAGCGACAGTTGCTGGCGTTGGCACGTGTTTTGGTGCGAGATCCTCGCATCCTCGTTTGTGACGAGGCTACTTCTGCCGTTGACCAAGACACGGATCGAGCAGTGCAGCAGACACTGCTAGAAGAATTCCAGGACCGAACAGTAATATGCATTGCCCATCGACTGCAAACTATCATACGTTATGACCGAATCTGCATGATAGATCAAGGCAGAGTTATTGATTTCCAGAGTCCACTTGCATTGTTCGATAAGAATGTTGTGTTCCGCCAGATGTGTGAGCTCAATCATATCACCCGGAAGGACATTATTTAGTATGAATCTGTGGTCTAACCTGCTATTTTGGAGTTTCTTTTCCTAGTTGTTGGGCACGATGTATAGTCATGCTCCTTGCAGATGTCCTTTATTTATCAGGCTTCCATTGTGCTCTGGTGGTTATCGACGTGGTTTTTCCATAGAAAATCAGCTGTCAGATCCAACATTGTTTAGCAATTCTATATTGAATTAGCTGTATATATAGATATATATCACATAGTAAATGCTAGGGTAGAAATGAAAACAAGCCAAACACAAACATCTGAGGCTCTGGCAATGGAGTAGCCATACCTCCAACCTTTACACCCTTGACAGCTCTAGCGAGACACTGTCCAATATCGCATCAAATCGCCCCCCGACAGAAGATATCTCTCTGAGCCCCACTTTACAACGTAGGATTGTTGAAATCAAGACCGCTTTACGCTCCATCCTTGTCGTTCTCTGCATTAGCAGCTGTTTGCTGCATTTGCATCTTCTTCATCATCTCAGCTGCTTCAAATGAATATTTACACTTCATTCGGACCACTGCACCATAACGATACATGATCAACGGGAATGGCATGCACACGAGAGTCATGAATGCGGGGATGGAGGACGCCCAGTGAATTCCCAGATTGTGATACATCTGTGTCGTGAATAGGGGAAACACAGCACCCACGACCGACCGGAAGATGGCAGCTGCAGCCAGGACAGAGGCTGCATAGATGGTGTAAGTGTCGATCAAGTAGTTCATGATGGGCAAAATGACAAGTACACAGCCAAATCCGAACGGTGCAGATAGGATGATACTGACACACCAGTGGATGCTAGGGTAGTTGGTCCAGCCAAAGGCGAACATGCCGATGGGGAGGGCGATACCTCCAACAATCGCAGGTGGCAAGCGAGACTCAGCTGTTGCAGATTTTGCCGCAAACAGCTTCATGTAGCGGCTGTTGTTGTCCCATATAGCATAGATCAGCCCAAATATGATGCCAACAGCGATTCCCAAGAACGACAGTCCGCCGATGCCCTCGCTCCAACCTCGGTCTTCATTGTACACAATTGGCATGGCGCCCATAAACATGTAGACAGTGCCGTAGATAATAGCCATGTAGAGTGATGCTACTAAGACGATGGGCTCGAGGAAGAGGAAGATCCAGGGACGGAATAAAGCACGCTTGAAGATTTCCAACGGTTTCTTCTTCCCCTGGTTCTTTTCTAAAACACTCATGTAGACCTTTCCGTCGACCTTGGAAAGCTGACGTGCCCGTCGTTGAAGCAGAACCGGGCCGTATGTCTCAGGAATGAAGGCGATGCCCAGTATGCCGACTACGCCAATGAAGATCACGCAGACACCCTGGACCCATCTCCACCCGATGTTCTCAGACACGAACCCGCCCACAATTGGCCCTAGAATGGGACCGAGAAAGGGGGCAACACAGTAGATAGTCAATGCTAGGCCACGCTGAGCAGGCGGGAACAGATCGGCAATTGTTCCGCCAGAGTTGACTAGTGGTGAGCCGCCAAATGTGCCGGCAAAAAATCTCAGGATAAGGAGGGTAGCCACGTTTTGGCTGCCTGCGGATCCCCCTAAAAAGGCAACAATGGCGATATGAGTGACAACCCAAAGAATTTGTCTTCCATATAGTTCCGATCTTGATCCAATGTTAGCTATTGGACTCTGTGTACAATATGTGTATAGGATGCCATCATTGAGACTTACTGTTAAACAAAATATGGTTAGCTAGGGTCACTCAAAGTGACAAGACGGTTTAATGACTTACCAAGGGACCCCATAGGGCAGGGCCAATTGCAAATCCGAGCACAAAGAGAGAAAGTCCGACAATGAAGACCTCGGTGCTGATATCAAAGTCCTGCAATACTTCATTTGCCGACACCGAGTATGCGGAGGAGGTAAAGGTCACGGCAAAGACAGAGAAAGTTGCAATGGCTGTAATGAACCATTTGCGGGACTCGCCCCAGTTCATCGGATTGTTAGGGTCGTCCTTCTGGAACTCTACCACGAACGGGTCATCTTCGGTGCCCGAGCCATCGTAGGTGTAATCGTCTTCGATATCACCTGCGTCGGCAGGTGCTTTTGACTCGTTATTAGACATGTGGTTGTCTTAGCGGTTCAAGGGAGAAAATATATGGATTAATATAGTGGATTGGTTATCGCCAAGACAGGGAAAAAAAACCGGAAAGGGAGACGGAGCTAGCTCTCTCTCTGAAATGTTTGGAGATTATTGAGAGCGCAAATTTGAACGCCCGGCTGTCCATGGAGAGAGCATTTTTTGTCGCAGTTTTCGATCTATATAACGGTTCAGCAGACGGCGAAGCATAGCATCAAAAACGGACTGCTCTTTCATTGGCCAACTGATGGAAGACGCATGCACTTCCAAGGTTCCCATTGGCTGCCTTTTGAAACTGGTGGATATTATTAGCGAATGAAAGAGCTTTCCGCAGTGGGTTACTCAACACGGGAAGTCATTTTATTGGTTAACCTTCTGATTATCAAGCCGACAGGCAGATCGCCCTGATCGACGCGGGCTGTCCCAACTGTCAGATACAGGAGTAAAGAATAGGTATTGGAAGTGATGATTGAACAGGTCACACCATCAAAACCTTTACGCAGACAGAGACTGAGAGTCCTGAACGCCTGCCAAGTATGTCGCTTAAGGAAGATAAAATGTGATGGCGCTCGCCCAGGTATCTCTTATTTCCATTGTTCTATTACCATAGCTCGTGCACAAGGCTGACACAAACCATACAGCATGCACGAGATGCCAGGCGGGAGGTAAGACATGTGTTTATGGCAATTTTGTCAATGCCGTTGAGAAACAGACAACGCGTAAACCTCGTGGACAAGCATCATCAGTTCAGAATTCTGTTCCTATGTTGGTCCCTCCCCCTTCTTCGGGACCTTCACACGAAACTCCTCCAGCATCGGCAGCCACAGAGCCTCCAACAGTTGATTCAATACCTGAATCTCATCATGTGGATGAGCATGGAGAGGTAGAGTCTGGCCTGGAGCAAAACCAGGTGTACTATACCGCACATGGGCGGTTTGCAGGCCAGGTCGCCGCTGCTATCGATGTGAGGGCAGGGTTCATCCCCGCAACTTGTCATCAGATCCCCCTAGTAGATGCGCCGCTATTTGGAGATCTTGACCTACCTTCTCAATCCCGTCTATTGTCGTCGTCGACCGAATTGCCTCCCCGGGCATATGCCGATCAATTGATTAACATATATTGGCAACACATTGACCCTATAGAACCAGTGCTAGATCGCCAGCACTTCCTTGGCCACTATGAAAAGGCATATTCAACACCCATAGCACCACTCTGCTCAGACTACGACATCTGGCTTGGTATTCTCAATGTAGTGTTTGCCCTGGCAATTCAAATACAAGAGCACAGCCCACTGCACCAAAGAAATGAGGAGGGAAATTGCTTTTTCCAGCGCGCATGGGCCCTGCTTCCAGCAGAGTCTATGCTATGGAGACCTGCATCACTCGAGCTTGTACAGTGCCTGATGCTGATGAATCGATACCTCCACTGCACCAACAATCAACAGAAGACATGGATGACAGCGGGGTTAGCGATGCGAATTGCGCAGACCATGTGCTGCCATCTCGCCGACGCGCCTTCGGCACAGGGCTTTAGTGATAACAATGTCCTGAAACAGAAGGTATGGGCAAGCTGTGTTGCCCTTGATCGGTATGCTATGGAAGAATCTCTCTTCCATGTCATCACTAACTTACTTCATATAGATGCATCTCCTGGTCGCTGGGTAAAACGTCGTCATTGGTGCTGATACCATCCCCGCCAACAACTACCTCCCAACAATTAGGCCAGAAAGCGACGCATGATACCTGGGGGTTGGGACTCCACGAAATTGGGAATCAAATTCAGTTGGCGCAGATACAGACGCGAACTAGTCTCGCAGCCAGATTTCGCCCTCCACTCCTATCTCGACAAGATGAGTACCATAGTGCGGCATTGCAACTAGATGCATGCCTTCAAGATTGGGAAAATAGTCTTCCCAGCGATTGGCAGTCGCAGAACCTCAGAATGGTTGTTAACAGGTCGTCCCGAGCTGAGCGATACTTGCTTCATCTTCGGTAAGCCAAGAACCCCTTAACCTCACCAAAATAGATTTTTATTGTTCTATGTAGCTACCTCCACCACCGGATCTTTCTATTCAGACCTATGCTCGCCCGCTTCTATTCAATGAAAATAGACACCCACCCATCGCTCAAATCACCAAGCCTAAGCCACCGGCTTCTACGTGAAAGTGCCAGCATGTGTATCGAAGCCGCGCAGCAGATGGCCTCACTAGTTAACGAGACGCTCGAGCCACATGAGCCGATCGGACTGCTTCCATGGTGGTACAGAATATACTACCTTCACATTGCGGGTGCCAACTTCCTCGCAGCTATGTTCCGATCAGAACTTTTCACAGATTCTGTTTCCCAGTCTTGGAAAAACGTGCTTCTGGCACTCCGCGCTCATGAACACTTGAGTCCCTACGTTCAGCAATGTGTGTGGACATTTGAGACTCTCGCGGCCAGAATTATGGGCAAGCCTTACCTCAGTCTAGATGGCAGTGGGTGTGATTTGATGGTAGATGGGTCTTCTGGAGTTTCCTCCGATGATATCTTCCAGGATATTAACTTTGACTTCGATAATTTTATATTTGGACCAGAGGACTTCTCGGAGGGGTTGATTTAGTGGAGAGTGCACGAGCATGAAAGCCCTGAGATCCAAGCGCTGAATCCAAGCAAATCCGTACCGATCCTCATCATCAAGGAAGACGGGAACGAGACTGTTCGTACCCAATCATTTTCCATTCTAGAGTAGTTGGAAAAAAACCTGCCCACCCTGACACCACTATTACCTCCAAGTTGGGATCTAGGGCAGCGTGTCCGGGCCCGAGAGATGGTGAACATCATCACCTATCACCAATGGGGGGATCGCTAAAAGAGTCTGTGGCATTCGAGGTGAAGCCTAAGACCAGATCATTTTTGTTACGGAGTTGTTTCTCGCTGGCCTGACGGCGTATGAAGTACTACTAGCCAAATATGGAGAGCAATTCTCAGTTGCGCCTGCGGTGTAGATGGCGCTTGCTTATGGAACCAACGTGGATGGACTATCACACGTCATGGAATTATTTAAGAAGTACACACGAAGCTATGAGAGCCTCATAGAGGCAAAAACAACATTGACTGTTCTACTGTAACCTCTGTGTGCAGCTATTGTGGTAACGCCATTGGCAAATGTAACAGGTTTAGGAAACAGAGACTCAGTATTGAATGAGGATGCATTTCGTATATCATAATCCTTCCACAATTATTTTATATGCAAAAGGACTGTACTATCGGCATACGATTAGCTGTACATTGCAAACTGGAAAGCAGAGTAACAAAACCGCCATAGTGCCTAACACCGACACCAAACTGAGCCCAAAGAAAAAAAAAAAAAAGAAAGAAACCGGACGAATAGTCGTCATTCCGTACTTCGTGTGTCCATCCTCCAACAATTCACAAGACAACTTCTGCAATCACATTCCCCAAGGTACCCACACACCAAACAGCGATAAGACCCCACCCGATCCTGCGATCCATTCTCCATCTGTTCATAGGAACCACAATCAAAAGTCCAACCAAGATAATTAAAAGCGTCGCACCGCTGATAACAAGCACCTTGGAAATGACAATCTCATAGGGGACTTGCACAGGGGCGACATCCTGCAGCACCTCATTGTGTCTCTGGTTCCCGCCATTAATGGTCATATACAGGCCACCAAGTCCGATACCGAGGAGGATATTGAGCATAGGACCGCCAAAGCAGGCGCTGAGCGCCATGACCGGATACCCCAGTCGGGCAACTGTGATGTCAGCAACTAGATCGCCTAGCGAGTTCCCGACGGCGAAGATGGTCAATCCGAGTAGGGAATCAGAGATGTTGAGGATAACGCCGATGGTCTTGAGGAGGGAGACAACTTCTGTGGCAATCGTGGCAATCCAGGATATGGCTACTAAGAAGCCAAGTAGGGAGAGGAAGGGCCGCCATTGCGATGGGAGGGTGTCGAGGTGGGGCTGGGATTCGTAGGGAAGCGGAATGGAAAGATCTGCACTGGGACGTCGGTGGCTTCGTTGACGACGGGTGCTTATTATTAGGGCTGTGAGACAAATAGAGGAGAATAACAGGGAGACAAGGGAAGGAAGAATGAGGTTGCGCAGCTGACGGTCTTCGTCCACAGTCGTCCAAGCGATGAGTACGGCGAAGAAGGGACCCGTGAAAAGCTGGATGGAAACCAGCCAGCGATTCCGGTCCTTTGTTGGCATAGGACGCACAGGAGGTGAGCCCGGCACTGGCACTGCCGGGAGTTCCGAGTCCCATCGGGGGCGACTGGTGTGTTCGTACGAGGACTTTCGACGGGCGTGCGTTGGCGGCACATTAGAAGCCGACCCGTCATAGTCATGTGCCTGAGCCACGAGCACTGGACTATCGGCTGGCAGTCTAACCCTTGGGGAAGGATTTTCTCTATCGTCGACGTCCTGAATGATCACCGAAGGAATGGGGTCCGGTTCCACATACTCTGGTGTCTCAGGCTCAACGACTGGGACGGTTATGGTAAGGAGCAGGACACTGGGAGCTGCGATAATACCGAGCAATCGTTCCCAGACAGTTTTAGATTTCCAGCCTGCCAAGGTCGGGAAGAGTGTGCAACCAATCTGCAGGGGAGGGGGGATCGAGTCAGGCCACCAATTCCTCAGGTATTTTCGGAAAGGGAGGCCTACATGAGCGAAATCATCATACCCGTCATGGACTTGTAGCCGTTCTAACGGGCTGGCTGAACTTGGAATTCGAATGCTGGGTGGTCGTGAGAGTGCAATGGAGGGTAAATCAGTATACGATGGGAAGGGCACTGAGGGGCTTTCTAACCCGAAGCCTGAATAACGGCGGACTGTAGTGCCCCTGGGAGATACTGACATTGGGGACCGGTCATCTACCCCTCCGTTGTGGTAATTGGGAGAGTTAAACGCGTCCGATGGAGCGAGCCGGTCAGGAGTTTGGGGACTTGTGGTAACTGGACTCAGACTCGGCGACTGATTCGCGGAAGACACATCCAGCGCCATCCCGGTATCAATTCGAGGGAGCTGGCGTGACTGCATGGCTTCTTGTCCCGAAGTATCCTCGAAAGAAGGTTTGCTGACTGTAAGCAGTGGACCTTGTGTTGGCCGAGGCTCCAAAACACTGGAGTCAAATTTCAACCCCAAGGCATCGTTCGCCGACACAGCTCGAACTCGAGAGGAACCTGATGCGCTGGACGGCGACAGGCGGTCGTTACTAGCAGATGGTCGACTAGCGCGAGGATGGGATGCCACCGAGCGCGTGTCGTAGTCGGTCTCGCCGTCATCTGAGTAGCTGTTCAGGCTGATTGTCGGATTGCGACGGGTGTTTCTTGATTTCTGCAGTGAGTGAAGAACAGATTGAAACTCCAATGCACCGACAAGACTAGGTCGGATGGGGTTCATCGTATTACGCCTCGATTGCACGGGCCGATAGACGTGCATGTTATCACGAATCTCGGCCAAGTACCGGTTGCGTGTTTCGTCGTCCTCGTCGTCCTCTTCTTTCCATAGAGGAACAGGCTGGACGCGTTCCAAAAGATCAAAATCCTCAGTTGAGGCTCCGTGGAGAAGACTTCGTGACTCTGACGCTACACCAGGATCATCGTCCTCAATGGCCTCTTCGATCTCCAGTTCTTGGTTCTCCGGTATATTAAAGTGAGCTCGCGCTGCGACATCTCTTTCATTCTTTCGCCGTCGTCGTACCAGATACCAGTGCCAAGTCACCACCAGTACGACATAGAAGGCGTACAGGCCAACCATCGCAGCTGACTCCCATACATGAAGTTTCCCATCGGCCAGCATAAACATGCTGAAAATGATGGCCACTATGAAATAGCCCACATCTCGGACAAAGCTCCTTCGCGCGACCTTGAATGGCCGAACCAATGCCATGGAGCCCGCGACAACGGAGGTGATAAAAGTCGCCGCGCCAATCAACTCACCAATCGCTAGGCTCCCACTATTCGACCGCATGGCGGCGAAAGTGGAAAACACGTCAGGGCTTCCATTGCCAAATGCAAGGAATGTCACGCCTGTGAGACTCTCGCTCAAACCTAGAATGCTAGCCAATGTACTAAGATCAATACACAGGAAATCGCTTGCTGCGATGCCAATGGTACTGAAGAGCAGTGACAGCCAGAGTATCAACATCGTGAATGCTACCGGTTTTGCATCGGCCAGCCCGCAATAGTAAAATTGAAGGTAGGAGATTAGGCCATCCTCGTGATCGGGGCAGTTGGCGCGGACGTATGCACACTGGTTTTTAACATTGCGGACCAAGCGACACTATATCATTGTGTGGCAGTACATCATTTAGTCTTCGGCCCCATCTTACAGGAAAGGATTGGGAAAGGGAAAGATACCTCTAGTTCGGCCTCTCGTTTGAACAGGTCTATATGTGGCCCTGTACCTGGATGTGCAAACTGGTCATTTTCATGTGTAGTACCAGTTAGAAACCAACTCGCTGTTGCAATAAGTGTAAATACCAACAACGTGGTGTAAAATGGTCGGATTGAATATCGTGGCTTCCGGACGGCAGGCCGCAGGAAGGACGGCAGCTGGTTCATCATGGCAAGAAGTATTGTGGCATCGTGGGCCGGAGACTTTAGATGTTGCAGACCACTTATACCAAAAGGATCAACATTGAAGACTCAATGCATGTACAATATATACCCCACACGTCCAACGGATGTTGGTTTGTATATGCGAGCGCGGTGAGTGCGGTGGGGAGTGCGGTGATGTCAGCTGGGAGGAGCTGTGGCGGACCTCGGGAGTGGGCCAATGCGCTTAGTTCGCCGATCGTTGTTGCACTGAAGAAACAGGCTGAGGGGATCGATCGCAGATAGGATAACTGTGAAACTAGATAAGGTGGTAGAACTTGCAATCCAACATTGGAGGATTAGCTGTTGAAGGTTCAAAAGGATGGACCAGGGTGCGAAATGAAACCTGATATCCCAGGCATCAATGATCCTGATTACGTGACAGCCAGTGCGTCATTGGCGCGCCTCGACCGCCGTATGTTTGTTGACTTCCCCATTTGTTTTGCTTCGACGACATCAACCCCTCCCTCATCGAACTTTCCATCTCGTTGTCATCGTCATCCCCTATCGGGGGCAACTGCAACCATGCCGCGTGTCGCAAATAAGGTACATCGCCGTTCTAACGGCACCTCAACCCCGCACAAAAACTCTCCGGTCAAGTACGTATCTGGATATCTCTTGGTGATAACAATCAGCTAATTTTATCAGGATTCCCCTCAACGACGATGAGGGCGAGAAGGCAGCGCGTATGGAGGCTCGTCAAGCGCTTCATGATCGCCAAATGAGTCAGATTAAAGCCGCAGTCAAGACGCCTATGCCACCCCGGCGATATACCTACGATCGTGAAGGAAGCGACAGTCCCGCAACACCTCGACCTTCCGGTCATCGCAGTCGCACAAGCGATGTCAATGGCCGCGCAGTGACGCCGATGAAGCGCGTGCCTATCCTGGCCAATTTTGAAGAGTGGATGAAGATGGCGACCGATAACAAAATCAATGCGAATAACTCCTGGAACTTTGCGCTGATCGACTACTTTCACGACATGTCATTGCTGAAGGAAGGAGATGGTGTGAACTTCCAAAAGGCCAGTTGCACCCTTGACGGTTGTGTTAAAATCTACACCAGCCGAGTTGACAGTGTCGCAACGGAGACGGGGAAGCTTCTGAGTGGACTGGCTGATAGCCGCGACAAGAGAGGGCGTGGAGAGGAGGAGGCAGAAGATGGCGATGAGGATGAGGAAGGCGAAGATGGTCAGCCTCGCAAGTCGCGGAAAAAGGTATGGTTTATATGGTGTCAGAGATCTAGGATTTGACTAACTAGAGGGTATCTAGACACGTTCCCATGAGGCCACTCTCGCTCCATCATTCTCTTCGTTGCAACTGAAGAAGTTTGAGCTAGAATTCGCTGTGGACCCGCTATTCAAGAAAGCATCGGCAGACTTTGATGAAGGAGGCGCCAAGGGCTTGCTTCTAAACCACCTTGCTATCGATAGTCATGGAAGAATCGTGTTCGATAGCAGCGACGATGCTGTGGACGATAGCGCCAAAACCGCTGAAGATGACCGTGAAGGGTCTACGGATCCAGACCAGCAGACCGAGGATCAAACAAAACCAACCCCGAAACCCGCAAGCGACACCTTTGAAGATAACACAGAGATCGACCTTGCCACGCTAGCCAGCCAGTTTTTCCCAGATTTAGATCGGCTCGACGAACAAGATATTTGTCCATCGCTCAAAAACCTCGACTTGGGTGATCCCAGCGGGTCGCTGGATCTCCCTCTCCTCAAAGCGCCAGAGGAATGGCGGCAAGATAAGATGGACGAAGATGGACGCGCACCTGACGACCCATCTGGTATAATGCTCGACGACGACAACGCTGTCGGGTTTGACGACGATGATGCTACCCTAGCTGGATTTGATCTCAGCGGCGACACTGGGTTTGGTGACGGAGGAGAGGTATGGGCTCGGGAGGCTGCCTTGGAACCAATGTTAAATGTTCACCGGGTTGCCCACGATGGAGAGAATGATGGTGAGGGCGAGGATGGCGATGAAGACGCATACGCCATCTCGATGTCTCATCAAACCAATAGTCATGACCACGAAAACATTCTGAGCTACTTTGACAACGCGCTACAAAAGAACTGGGCTGGCCCGGAGCACTGGAAGATTCGGAGAATCAAAGAGCATGCAACACCCGCTACGTCAGCACCCAAGCAGCGCAAAGAGAAGGAGCCTTTTGAAATTAATTTTGCTGCCCCTCTGGATCCTGCTGTCGCGGAATTGATCTACACTCCGGCCAGCTCCAATTCCGCCGTCTCATTACCCAAGACGCAGTGGAAGACGAAGGGTCGCAACCTCCTTCCCGACGACAAGCATTTCAACTCCCGCAACCTACTCACATTGTTCCTCAAGCCAAAGGCAAAGATGGGCTCAAAAAGGATTTTGGGCAAACGCCGTCGGCAGGATTTGACAGCTGGTAATGGAGACATGGACGAGGCGTTCTGGGCAAATCGCAAGCCGGAAGAGAACGCCGGCGAGGAAGGTGCTGCCGGTGCCTATGATGCCAACTTCTTTGCTGATGACGATGGTCTTGCTTTCCCGAACGGCATGGATCTCGATGACGACGACAATCTGCCATTCGCAGATGCCCGAGAGATGCTTTCTCCGCCCACAGACGGGCCTCAAGGCACATCAGCGGGAGAAGCAGGTGGAGCAACTGGACTCAGCGCGCTCTTGAATATGGTCGGCGCCACGCCTGGTCGACCGGGAGCTGGCGGCTACGGCTCACAATTAGTAACACAAGGTGGCCGTCGTGCACGACCAGACTACGTGGCATATGCACGTGTGGCAAAGAAGGTTGACGTTCGACGCCTCAAAACGGAGATGTGGAAGGGCATGGGCGAGCGCTTAGTTGATGCCGTGGACTTCGCCTCGGCTTCACAGCCAGGGGCTGTTTCCAGTGAGGCTCCGACCGAACCCGAGAGTGAATCGGATGCCCCTGTCCCGCCCACACCCAAGGCCGAGAGCCCAGATCAGCCTGTCGATACCAAAGATACTGGCCGGCTACGGTTCACACAAATCATGAACTCCCTCAAGGCAGTTTACCCAGCTGAAACCCTACGCGATATCAGCACATCATTCGGGTTTATTTGTCTTCTGCATCTTGCCAACGAACAGGGTCTCGTGCTCGAGAGTGATCTAAGCAAGATGGGCGCTAATGCAGCTACCCTAGAAGAGATCTTCGTAACTAGGGATGCGCACGCCATCATCGAAGAGGGAGGAGGAATGTGATAACCTTGCTTTTGTTTTTGGATGCATGTACAGTTGACACGGGTAGAAGCACTACGATATGCATGTTGGTCACGAGTGATGGACAGGACGGTGTGACTTGGTAGATCCTTGCGGCGTTGTGGTTTTGCTTTTTTCCTGTTCGCAGTGAATGGCGCTCTTGGGTCTTTTTGTCTCTTCGGATTACTTCTTTTGTTGGATGAATTCAGACGATTTCACATACATAATTCCTAGTGCCATAGCCCAGTAGTCTTAAGTTAAGGTAGGAGCAGTTCGTCACCTGGGTGTTGAGTGCTGGCACAAACGCTTGCTAGAATTATCCTACGGTGTTGGGATTAAAATCGGTAAGGAGTTCATTCATATGTATCATTGCAATATATTCATTTATTGGACATGAACCAAATGGAAAGAAAGTAAATACACCAACAGTGTACCAAAGGTCAAATAGGTATCTGTATCTCACACCAAAACTCCACTTGCTCCAGGGTGATTAAACTCCATAAGAAGGAGAGAGTAAACAAAAGAAGGTCGAACAAGTGTTCGATTTTGAACCAGATCGATCGAACCTGACGACCTGAATAGTGTTTTCGGGTTTTCCACTTTTTTTTTTATAAAGATTTTTATGTTTTTAAGCACTTTCATTTCCCACGAGGGAAAATGGAATTGAATCAAAACACCCCAACTCAAAAGAAACAAAAAAGCAAGCTTGCAGTCATTCAAATTTACTTGCGTACAGGGGCCGGGAACGCCGGCACCATGGGACTCTGATAAGCCCCAGGAATCGGCACAGAATCGTAAGTGCGCTCACCGGGAGCACTACCCCTGTTCATAGGCGGACTCTGGCGCTGGCTGTGAGGAGGCGGCGACTGCGAGTAATGAGAAGGAGGAGCAAACTCCTCCTGGGCGGTCTGCGGGGTTGGCTGCTGAACCTTGATAGGAGGTGGCTGGAGCTGAAAGGATGGGGTAGGGCGGGTGGGCGAACGCGGTGAGGCATACTGAGTAGACTGGGGTTGAGCTACACCCTTCTCAGCGGCCGAGTAAGGGTCCACTGGGCCGGCAGCGTAGAAGGGGGACTTTCGAGGGTAGGAAGCGAAGCCTGCGAAGCCGGGGGTATTCGGGGCTGACTGCAGGCGCAGCTGGGCGAGATATAGATCTGAACGGGCGTTGTCGCGGGTGTCCATGGACTTCATCAGCTTGCGCTTGCTCCAGACGCGGTAGAAGACTACTACGTAGATCAGGATCACCAGAACTTCGATGACGACTTCGATGATGGCGCAAACAAGGCCCCAGTCTTGTAGGCGGCAAAGGAGAGCATAGTCGACGCTGTTGTGGTATAGTTGTTCGCGGGTGTTCTGCGCGCAGGACCATCCCCACATGTCCTTGCTGTTTCCTGTGGCTTTGGAGTGCTGATACACTGCTGCGCCGACGATCCACATAATGAGGTTCACAGCGAAGAAGGCGATCGAGAAGCCGGTGTAGTAGACGGCAGCCTTTTCAGCGCGTCCGTGGCCGCCCTTTCGGTAGGCCCAGAAAACAATTAGACATGCGCATAAGGAAACGCAAGCCATGCCTAGAAGGAGGTACTGGGCCCATGGGTTAGTGCCCTCTGCCCAGGCAGGAAGGCTGTTACGAGTGGGCAGGTGCTTGGTTGCGTTGAAGACAGTCAATGTCACGGCGAGCAGAGACAACACAATCAGACTGCAGCCGAAGTTAACGAAACGCAAGAAGACCTTGGCGATCCGGACGCGGAGTTTGATTCTCTAGTGACAATTAGTAACTTGCATTGATTGGCATAATTCGGCGGCTTTCTTACCAAGTCTCGGGCATTCTCCACTTCGGCTTTCTTTTCCTGCTTCTCAAGCAAGTACTCCTCACGGAAAGTTGGACTGAGAGGGTTCAATGACTTGGCTGTCTGGGGCACCTTCAGGTCAGGTCGGAAAGGTGACATTGGCACCTGGTCATCCGCATGCTCATTGTTCGCTCCCACGTAACCGAATCCCACATCTCCAACATCTCCCCTCGCCTGGGTCTTGGGAGGGTCGGCGAAAGGTGATCGTCCAGCTTCTGTGCGGTCGATGGGAGAGTGAATTGATGTGGCCTCGGCGAATCGAGCAGTGCGCGGACTCTTGAGCGAGGCATTGCTCGTGTCAGAACCACTGCTTGTCTCTCGCGTGGTGTGCTGTGGTGGAGGGCCCATTGCACTGTGATAAGATGCACGGGTAAGATCTGTAGGAACAACGGGCTCGTAGGTCACAGGAGAGTTGTCTCGGCTATCGTCTGATACCGCCATTGAGTCGATGGCCAATGCAGGCAAAGAAATCAAACAATTAGATCAAGAGAGCCAGCTCTTGACTTGACGGGCACAGGTCTAGCTGCTAGGAATCAAACGACCCGAAATCGAGTCGAATGTACACCAAAAGCCACGAGTGTGGTGGGACAATGGCTGAACTATATCAGGTTTGCAATAAATCACCGATACCGTGTGCGAAGCCTGCGTGCACGGCTATTAAGCAGCAGACGGTGATCAAAAACGAAAAAAATGATGATAATCAGAAAGTGACAGGAACCGGCCTGGGCACCTTGAATATCAATAATGTTTGAGTGCTGGCATGGTCTGAGAGGCGGGGGGACCAAAATGCAGGCTTTTGATTCTCGTCACTTGAGTCGGGCCAGAGTAAGCGCCGAGGGGGAATTTGCAGCAGGGACCAGGGACATGATTGGAAGATTCAAAGTCTGTCAAGCCCTCTGGCTGCAAGTGCACTGTACCTCGAGGCGTTGGGAGGAGAGTGTGACTGGCCGGCGGGAGTGATCAGCCAAGCTTGTCACAGTGGAGTAACGGGCCAGTAAGATCGAGTAGTGGGCATACTCGCTCCTCACGATGCACCTTCATCACCCCCAGCCCGGCGCTAATCCGCCGATCGTCCAACCACACGGAATGCAGAACCGCTTTAGTGTGTGAGATGAATGAGCGGTCCGTGGGAAACAAGGAAGATGTGGACGACTGGATGAAAGTATCTGGTCAACCCAAATTCGAGGCCCAGTCATATAACTCGATTAAGCACCCTTGGGTTATCCGGAGTTTGAGAAGTTGGAGAGGGGAAACCAGCTGGAGGTCTGTGCACCAGGCTATTTTTGCTGTGAAGCAAACCAAGTCACACTGGTGATAGTGCCTAGCTCACGCATATTCGTCACTTTTCTACTCCGTAGAGTCCGTAGAGGATCTCTCTATTCCGTCTATTTTCAGTGACTAGTATTCCGTGTGCAAAGTGAAAAGTGCATTGTCCTCCATGCTTACCTTCTCATATGATATTCTCATCTCATAGTTCAAGATTTCAATTCTAATATAGAATCAGTCAAGTTGAATATAATTAGTACAACCGTTTATATATCTTTGTATGCGGGAATATTGAGATGGGTAGCCGCCCTGACTGGAACGCCACCTACCCTGCAAATATGCATAGCATGCCATTTCAGTCGAGAGATATACCTCGGTACCAGTACCCTTTTGTCTTCTGTTCTCTTATTATCTCTCGTGTCTCTCCGTCAATCAAATGCTCTATCGGCTTTATGGCGACAAAGGCCCAGTGATATCGCTTTGCAATCAATCAATCAGTCATATCACCGCCATATATTGGATATCTCAATGGAATAGGATCTTCGATACACAGTTTAACTGCCGACGAGAAAGAGCACCAAGCTCGCAAGCAATTACTGTTGTCTCCTTCATCGCTCCATTATTTAGTCGCTATTATCACCAAAGAGGGAATTGTGTCTATGATAACTGGTTGGTTCAAAGACGACATGGTCAAAAATATGTTATAATAGAATTGAACGAGCCCCTCTGATATCGTGACTAGGCACAGAAATACCGCCATGTTATTATCACAAGAGTGTCATCAATGTTCTGATACGCATAGGTCGTTCCATGTTAATTGTCAATACCTGCGCAGCTTTTATAGGATCTGAAGTATTCTCCATGTTTTCCAAGGCCCTACATCCCCATCCCGTTCATAACGCATCCATGGATGTTCTAGTAGAATCGGCGAAAAGAATGACACCTGCTATTATGGTCATATGAAAGTCTGGAACACATTGACTGTCATACAGCTCCCAGCAGAGCTTTGAAGATCGAAGCAGTCATCGAGTGCAAATACGCCGTGTGCAATTATTGGCGACCTGCCAAATAAAGTCTACCCAACTTGTTTTTAGTGTGCACGAATGAATGAATATAGAAGTTACTGATCAGATCACGAGAAAATGTAGTGCCATAACATTTATACAGAACTGGTTCAATGGGGTTGATCATAATGTACAGCGAATCAAGTAGGGTCTTTCGGTGGTGGCAACTACATGATGAACATCTATTCCGCAAGGAGACCACAACGTTCAGGATAATAATTTACACACCGGAAAAATATGGCCAACTATACCTATTATAGAAGATATCTGAGTGAGATTGTGGCATAACGAATACTTAATGGAGAGTCTCGACACCACCGTGAATGGAATATCAATCCTGTCGAGTAACACAAACATTCCAACTGATCTGCGAGACTTGGTTATGAAGGGTCGCATTTCATGCAGGCAATATAGAGAGACAAGTATCAGCCACAGGCTATTTTTGGGAGTGGAGTAAGCAACCGTAGAGGTTGAACCACCTCGGATGGGCCCCAGGACACTCCACAGGGTTCCTTGGTTCCTGAAAGTAATGTGTTATAGGATGTTCTACCTTTCAACCATTGCAGGCAAGAAGAAATGGCATGTTCTAGATGTTCATAGATCTATACATCTTTGGGACTGCGTAATAGCATGTATTTAGCGTGAATCAGCGTGGTACTGTTATATGGGGCTCTGCGTGAAAGTCGATCCAACGAGCCACCTGAGGCGTCTACAATAGTACGACGTTATAAGCACATTGCCCGAAACATGGCGCAGCAAATGTATTGTGCTTTGTATTACCAAGGTATTCTTGGACAATAAGACATGCCAATAATGTATTTAAAGGATCCAAGTGGTCCGTTGTAGTCAATGAGTCAGAATATTATTACATCCACGAATAAAGTCTGCATGGATGTACTACCTACTAGGTACTACCTAGTAGTACAACGGATGGCGAAGAATACGCATAGAAAGCCCTCAATACAAGGATTTCCAACAGACCAGGCGTTCCAGTAAATTGAAATTAGAATGTATTGTATGAGATATATTATGCGCGGGTCTTCGGGGTGACATCACTTCGATTGTCCTTTGCAGCCTAGATATGCACTTTATACCAAGGCCACGGTAACACCGGTTTGTAGAGACATGATCTTATGCTTCTTATAAGGCTCATGAAGGTGTATATCATACAGAATAGGCTTCTGTGCCTAGATGAAATGTAAATGAAATGTAAGGCGACGTGTACTCTTGAATGAGAGGTCAGCCGCAGAAACTGCCCCACGAGCCAGCCACAAAGTGTTAGCGGTCTACACAGCCTCAATCCTAATGAGGTACTGTATACTTATTAACACATAGTATTTATAATATAACATCAAGTACTCAATACTTCACTGCCTCAGGGTTCATTTCTCCAGAGCCTCGACTCTCCAGTCCCCACCAAACATATCATCCCCTGCCCGGTTTCTGTTCACACGTTCATTCTCTTTGTGTTTTTTATTTTATTTGCCTTCAAATCTGATACGGTAAATGGTGTAAGGTGTAAGTGGTATGAGACTAGTTCATTACCATACACTTCCTTGTCTTCACCACTCAGATTCCCCATCTCTTTGTCTTATTTTGTTCCTGCGCCCAACCGTTCCAAACTTCAGATGGCCATTGAATCTCATCCACTCATTCCCCAATCGCTATTTTAAAGGCCTTAGCCCCTGGGATCATTCAGGTGGATCTTGACAAGTTCGAAGCTGAAACCACTCGTCAGCTTGCGCCACACTCGTGAGAAACGCCCCACACGCCCTGGTCTTCGCTCTCTTTCCCCCCCAACCTCGTCTGCTTGACATCTTTGATATATCCTGGTGGATGAAAGTTAGTCAAGTTCCTTTTCCCCCACCAATCTTCCTTGCATTGTCCTAACATGACATCTAAAGTAGCTATCGCCTTTACTTGTCCACCCTTTGAGGCTGGCGCGAAACCTTCTTTCTCCATGGCGACGTTGATGTCGAATAACGAGCCCGTCGCCGTCTCCAACTCACTATCCGCAAACTCTATCACTAGCTCTGAACCTCTCTCTTTGTTTAAATCCTCCAAACCCGAGAGCCTGAGCTCGATTGCCAGCGCCGGCTTACACGTCTCGCGATCGAGAGACCAACTTCCTCCGATGACAAGTCCAACGTCAGTACCGGCGGATCGGCCGGAGCATGAAAAGGACGCTGAACGAAACAGTTCGCAAGTGGCCCGGGAGGCTCTGGGTGCAAGCGAAAAGTCGCCAGGTGCCCCGATTCATGAGCCTTCAGTCCATGCATCCCCGGAGCATATGCAAATCGACTCACACGCGACCGAATCGCCGTCGGACCCTTACGGATCAAACGATCATCACCACAACTCACTAATGCATACCTCGACTGTAGCCAGCCCTGGTCCTATCGAGGAATCCACTTCTCAGGATGGCGATCGACGGTCGCGCGATGACTCCGAGATTGACCACGATGGCAAAGCATTCTCATATCCGATGCCCACGGGTAATATTAACGACCCGCGCCGCGGACTGAGCCTACCGAACGCAGGCTACAACCGAGGCAGCCCTCGCTCTCCATCGGCGAAGAAACACCGCTGCCCATACTGCGCGACAGAATTTACGCGGCAACATAATCTCAAGAGCCATCTACTCACCCACAGTCAGGAAAAGCCTTTCGTTTGTCAAACCTGCCAGTCACGTTTCCGAAGACTACACGATTTGAAGCGTCACACAAAGCTGCACACCGGCGAGCGACCACACATCTGTCCTAAATGTGGACGTCGTTTCGCCCGAGGTGATGCGCTTGCTCGGCACAATAAAGGACAGGGAGGCTGCGCGGGTCGACGCGCGAGTATGGGCAGCTTTGCGGCAGATGATGAGTATGGCGACGGTGCGCCCGGGGGGCACGACGACATGGATGGTTTGATGTACACAGCAGAGCCTGAGCGCATGGACGAAGAAGACGAGCGACGAATGACCATGCCGAGCATCCGCAAGCACGAGGCAGATACAGTTGCTCGGTCTGATTCAATTCACTCACGCCAGTCTAACACCTACCCGCCAATTGCCGCCGGTCGTCCCAGCCACCTTTTCCCACCCCCGGCCAACCATGGTGGATCAAACGTGTCAACATCGGCTTCGCAGTCTGCACACATGACTTTCCCGCCTGCGGGACTCAGCTCGAGCTCGTCTATGTTCCCTTCCAACAATATTAGTGACAGCCCTAAACCGCTGTCCCCGAACGCTCTCTCATTGCAACATGATGGCGCACCGCCACACCGCGCACACTCTCCCGGTATAGGACAGTCCTTGCCACACCCGCAATCCTCTTTCGGACGAGCGAATCAATCTTCGAACCACGCACCACCTACACTAGGCTTGCCCCTGCCACAGCCAGGTGCACCCCAGCTGCCTCCACCGCCGGGTATGACCTCCCCGGATGCTCGATTTGGCATGCAAGCTGCAAACAAACACACTCCTTCGCACAGCCACTCCAGTACGCACAGTTTATCTCATCTCAAGGGCTTCGATGGGCCGGATGCCAATTCCAGTGACGCCAGCCAAATCGATAAGCTTTGGGCGTACGTGCGGACAATGCACGACGAGTTGACAGGCTTGCGCACTGAAGTTGCCGCCTTGCGGGCGCACGTTGCGTCGTCCAACTCGGTGCCCCCGGCTCCGGTGGAAGTAAACTTGAATAACGCTGGACCGCGGTAATACGTTCCTAGGTGTGGTTCTAGTGTGTACGATATGGCTCACCGTCAGCCACATAAACTGGCTGTTATGCCCTCCCCTCCTTCTTCATTTTGTCCATACTTCTTGATTATCCCATCCTCCCTTGAGGGTCAACCTTGATGCCCTCATGATCACCATACCGACAGTCGCCGGCGTCGGTGTTTTCTATGCCCCATTACCCTTTTTCCTTGTTTCTTTTCCCCATTTACCCCCGGAGTCATATCACCTGGGGAAGCCTTTCCGTTCTAGCCTACTTTATTCATACCTGGAGTGCACTGCAAAGTGTGTCCTTTTTTCCCCTCTCTTCTTTTTTTGAACAGCCGAAGGAGTTTGGCGTGTCAAACAAAAATGGTCTGACATCGCGATGGAATAGAGAACATTGCTTCTCACCAAACCGCGACCTGGACCCCTGTGTCCTGTCGATTCCATGTGAAAGATGGAATCATATGATTGTGTTTGGATATGTGCATGGATTACGCTGGATTTGGAGTTTTTATTCGTAATCTGATATTCCCGACTTAGTGATAATATATTCTTCAATCCTTACGATATGCACTGTAATCATTCTTGATTTTTTCTTTTCTGCTGAGCTTTAGCAGCTTGATCGTCTGTAGACTCGGAGTAGAGATATTGTTTGGTTTTTGGTTTGGAAACCGTCGGCATAACCTCTCTTTGTTTGTCGTGAAATTGTTCAAGTAGGTACTACGTCTTTTTCCTGGCAGTCGGCATGTCGGCCAAGTGCGTATTGCGGCTGGGCGTTCTACGTAAGTACACTCAATAATGTACTATAACGTCCACAAGAACTCTCTAGGGGCTATGGAACACCAAAGACGATTTTGGCTAGGCCCAGTAAGACGCACTTGATCTTGTTCTAAATCTACGTGATGGTGGATGGATATATATATATATATTACCCTTGCATTGCCAAGGTGCCCAACAGCAAATGTACAGAAATAAAATCTATAGACATGAAATATCACACCTCATACGCAGAAAAAGTGTCAGGGGATGTCTTCTAACCGTCATCCCCAGACGTAAAGAAAAGTGCTAAAAAAGTCTAGTTCTATGGTTTCCATACTGTCTGTTATATTCGCTCGACTCTAGCAGATGAAAGAAGGCATCAGAGAAGACATCGAAAAAGACACCTGAAAGGACCATCAAAAGACGAGTTCAGTGACTCCCTTTAAGTTATTCTAGATGTATCCATGGTTGGATTAGACTATTACCTTAGACAGTACCTAGCTATGACTCCTTCCTTACTACATAATGGCCTTGGCCTCTACATTGCCCTCACCAGGAGAATGGGTGAAGTCTCGCGAGATTGTCCCCCTCAGTTGACCTTCGCATATCACCGTCGCTTTATATTCTAGATATCAAGTATTTATCTTTGATCGAGAGTAAAGTTGAGTGAAGTAGGATAAAGTACAAATATAATAGCCTCGGCGGTGTATATCCCCACCCCCTCATAAGGGGCATCTTCACACCTAACAATTGAGCCGAGGAACTTCAAAGACCTCTTGAGTAAATGCACACCGCGACCGGTACACATCTCGCCAACAACCCCCGGAACATTCTATCCTTCCACACATTGTATTTTTGAGAATGTCTTCTACACTCCTGCAGGCGTCGGCCGCAGTCTTTGGGTTGCTTTCCGTTGGACACACGGTAGTATCCCCAACCCCAGAAGTCCCTGAAGAAATATATTGATTGTTGCGTAGATCAAGGGCAGGCAATGGACAGCCGACCCAAGATTCAAAGCTATCGCAGGCACGAATTCGTGGACTTGTGGGACTCTAGGGTGGTACCAGGTGCGTTGAACTTTAGCTTTGACTTGTCCCAATATCACACTTATTTTGCTTTATATTGACTGTCCTATTCCGTTTGTGTTAACAGGGCAGTGGTTTCTTTCTATTGACTGGTACGTTCATAGTATCATTCCTCCTAGTCAGGTTCTAACGATAATTATCGACAGGTCTTCTTCACTGGCAATGGTCGCGCGATCCCAGTCTCCTCCAGGAGCCACTGAACAAAGCCATGGCCGGGATCGTGAATATCCTGCTCTGGACTAGCACTGCCTGGTATGCTAAGCATGGTATCAATGATACTGCCATTGTCCTTGCTATATCTGCTGCGTTGCAGGCTTTCGGTATTGGCAAGGCTTGCCTGTAAAATCATCGCGAAGAATACATGTTTGAAAGATACATGTACGGTGTGATCCGATGAGTTCGGCTGTCTTACAAAGAAATAGTAGATCCTGCTTTTGTACTTCTCTGCTTTTGACTTTTAAGGTTTCTGTATGTTGATCGTAATCCACAGCCGCTGGAATTATCCGAGATGACATAGTAGAGTGAAGGTCAATAAAGACACTCAGCAGACCAACAACAAGTTAGCCCTCTCCCATTTGAGAATCCTGTTCCAACCTCCGCTCTTCCCTCCGCTTGAGGGTCCACCGAATAAATAATCCCACATCAGAAACAACAGCCCGCGGCGCTCCACCCAGCGTCCAACTCCGCTGAACCCACTTAGGAATCTTCCCACCGGCTTCAGAAGTCGTCAACATAGTCCATCGAAGATAACGTTCAGGATTTGTAGCAGGGGTATTCATATCCGTCGAAGCCGGCGGACCCGGAGCTGGTGGGGTAGGAGACAGCACACGCTCAACCTGCTCGAGACTGGCATAGTAAGCGAAGACTGCGCGCTGCGGGACGGCGTCCATGATCTGTGCGTAGAGTCCCTCGTACTGGGATCCCGGGATGATCGGTTTAGTCAAATAGAAAGGAATCTGTACAGTGATAAAGCCGTGACCTGGGCTGGATTGGACTGCTGGGTGTAAACTCGCGAAGGTCGCCGACATAGTCCAGGATATGAAGGCCCGGGGTCGGATTAGTGCCTGCGGATGGAAGGTGTGGACAATAAGATTGACTGGACTTGAGTTTCAGTGGGCTGTCCTTGTGTGTGAGCTTTGTTCGGGGGATTTCTATACATACGTTCGACCTCGAAATGTTTGTAGTTCATATTTCCAACGGTAATTGGTTCGTTGAGATCCCATTGTCTCGGTTCGTTCCACATCAGCAGTTGCTTTACGCTCGTCACACTGGGTGTGTACTCCATTTCGTGCTCGGCATGGTTGTATCGCAGCCCGTCGTGGAATTCCCATAGGGAAACTGTGCCAGGCAGACGATCAGAGTCTTGGTGGTCGCTTTGGCGACATACCCAGTACTCCTTATTGGGACTTGGGCCCTCTTGGGGGGATTGGGGGGATTGGAGTGTTCGCCATCCCCGTGAAAGTTTCACCTTTGCCTTTGAAGGTGGAGAAGAGCGTAGCTTGCAGTCTGGTTTCAATGTTGACGGGAACTGGTTTAGAAGAGGCTGAGCCTCAAGAAGGGTGGCCTGGATGAATTCCCGCAGATCTGGGGTGCTGGCATCCCCCTGAAGATCCGGGTGCCGGGGGAGGCTGGTGAATAGATGTGGCTCTAGTTGGATTAGGGGCATGATGGATGGAGGGAAGAAGGCTTGGCGAAGAAAGTAGATGTGTAGATGGAGAGAGGCGGGTTAAAAAGAAAAAGGCCAGAAGTTAGAAATCAAAACAAATCTCCATGAGCTTATTGTCTATCTTATTTGTTTGCACAGACCTAAATTATGTGAGAATTTGAAGGTTGCTTCTTTAGACGACTTGAGCACAACTATCTTCTCGGTAGACTTGATCATTTTATCTATCAAATAAGTATATGATCGATCTTGTTGATCAACATAGCGCTCGGGCAAAGAATTTAGGTAAAGGATATAGAGGCTATAGACAGCGGATCCCAGGTCCAACGCTGCCAGTCTCAAACATCTCCACAAGTCCCGCGCCTAGTGCTTCTTCAAGCACCCATCGAAAGTGCATCCCATATAGCTCTTTCCATTTCCTAGTCTTACCCGGCAGGACCCCTGCGAACTCGCCACGGGCTCGCTTGGCTACGTGGAAACTCTTCTCAGTCTCGACAGCTCCATCCCATCGATCTTTCAACAAACCCAGAGGGGCTTCGCCAGAAGCGGACCGCCGGAGAAGAGCGAGCAGATGTGCACGACCTGATCCTAACAAGCGGAGATATGTGCCCGTATTAGGAAGAGACAAGAACAGAGTTGCTGCACGAGCCTGGGCAGCTGACTGCACGGGGCGCTCGGAGTGTGAGATAGACTGGCTTCGACTTGCTGACGAAGTCGCCATTTGAGGTAAATTAGGAAGTGATGCAATACTTAATGTGCCCTGTGTATAAGAAGACGAGGAGACAATAAACCCAGCCCGGAGCAAGGCCCTGTACTCATCCGTCGTGAAGACCCCCTGTGATATCGCCGAGGAGGTCCCCATACGTTTCAGAATATCAAGGAATTTCTCTGCAAAACCGTCAGCTTATGACGCTCAAATTATCCTGGCCGAAGAACTCACCCTTGACCGGTTGTTCCAATGCAGGACTTTCCTGCACCAGCTTGTCCCAATCCTCTGCTAGCACCAAACAATCGCCCAGCCCTGCGGCATCATTGCCTCGACCGGGTATAATGAGTCGCCGAATCCGACCCGTTTGAATCTGTTCGACGATTTCTCTTTCTACCTGTGTCGGTGCTTCTAAAAGGGTATGGACATGGGCCACAGAGGCGAGCGGAGGCAAAGATCGGCGTAGATTGAGAACTTCTGCGATGCGCGTGCTGTTCATCCCCGCCCGTGTCGGGAGTTCTTCGAATATGCCATCACGGATATATTGAATGGCCTGTAGCACATTATGTACCGGTGCAGTCTTCGATATGAAATGAGATCCGCCTATATCTGGAAGCGGATCATCGGAACCTAGATCTGCAGGCGGTTTTAGGCCACCAGATGTAGGTTTGCGGCGCGCATGACCGGCAAAAGGCGAGGCGCGGGGTTTGGGAGCAGTGGTTTTGCGTTTTTTGATGCCTGATACCGGAGCGGAGGTGAGACGCAAGGTCATGGCAAGGTCATGGCATGAGTGACTTTCCAACATGCAACGGATTCGGGGAGAAATATTACATGTCAGGTGACACACAGATATTCCACCAATCACAGTCGATATACCATAGTTCGGTGAATAATTACGCTCAAATACCGTATGGAGAACCTCCCGACCCTCAAGTGGGGTAAACCCGGTACGGGGGCAGTAAGCTCATGTCAGGCGATGGATAAGTTGATTTCCTTGCTACCACAATATCTTTCTGGTTTGCAAGAACATTCCAAGTTATATTCATATCTCTGAATGCAGCAGCTTGATCTGCCTGTTTATTCTCATTTGTCCTGGAAATCCACAGGCAAACTTGTTTCTCCACCACTCGGCACCTTCGCATGACGTAGTCATGAGAAACGCATCGTGTAACTAACCTTTTTTTTTTCAGCTTGCCTCCGATTGTTAGGTCTCCAGCCGCTAGTTTGTTCGTCGCATATATCTTCCTACCACTATTGTCAAAAGCTGCAGGTTCTCTCTCACACATTGTGTTTTAATATTCTGCCTATCCGCTTAGGTTGGGCTCAATCACCATGACGGTCTTCATAGCATCTTTGTACGTGGCTATCGATTACTGGACACCCAACTACATATGGCTAACTGATGAATTTATAATGTAGATTCTTGCCCTACACTGTCGATTTCCATATCAACAACTCGCGCGCTCGCTCTCCCCCTCTTAGTCCTCCGTCCACAGATCCCACCATCGAAGCGATCGCACCCACACCCAATTCTGCGGCCAGTCTGTTTGAGAAGAAAATTCCAGGCAAACCCTCGGGTCTGACACCAGGGGCTACAACGGATCACGAGCGCATCTTTGCTGCCCAAGAAGCCAAGACAGAGCAAGAGAAGAATGGGTACCCGTTCCCTTTACTTGCCGAGCAGGATAACCGGCTCCTCACGGAGAGTGAGGGTCATCCACCGATATGGGGCGCTACAACATCGCTTAATCAGCCAAAGCCAGTGACGGGCTTGTCGCCATCTCCATCCATCCTCAAGCACCAAGATCTTCGCCCCGCCAAGGAAGCTGTCCCGCATCGGCCTCCTGCAGCCGAGACCATTGCTTCCCATGCGCGACTAAGAAAGGCCAGCACAGCGAGCCGAAAACTGTCGTTTTCAAAAGCCGAATGGACCATCGAGACTGCGGAGCAGGGCAATGGTGGCCTGCGCAATGCAGTGCGATCTGCAACAGACGCGGGGGGCTTGGACAACATGATGTGGGTGGGCACCCTGGGTATGCCCACTGACGCCTTGGCAAAACACACCCGGCGGGACATCGCGGAGAAATTGGAAGATGAGTATGGGTCTTTGACGGTGTTTGTAAATGACGATGACTTCGACGGGCACTACACGCATTTTTGCAAGACCATTCTTTGGCCCGTATTTCATTACCAGATCCCAGATAACCCGAAGAGCAAAGCCTACGAGGACCACTCATGGATCTACTACGTCAAATTGAACCAGGCTTTTGCAGAGCACATTGCTAAACATTGGAAACGGGGTGATTCGATCTGGGTCCAGGATTATCATCTGTTACTGGTTCCAGCTATGCTTCGCAAGTTGGTGCCAGATGCACAAATTGGGTTTTTCCTGCATATTGCTTTCCCTTCATCGGAGGTCTTCAAGTGCTTGGCGCCACGCAAGGAGCTCCTCCAGGGCATTCTCGGTGCCAACCTTATTGGTTTCCAAACGGATGAATACTGCCGGCACTTCCTTCAGACATGCAGTCGGATCTTGTGTGTGGAAGCAACACCCGAAGGAATCCAGTTGGAAGACGGTTTTGTCAACGTCGGCACATTCCCTATCGGCATCGACCCAACTTCTTGGGATAAGCGCCGCCAGGCAACGGATGTAGAGCGATGGGTCGGTACAATTTCGGAGCGCTACCAGGGAAAGCGTCTCATCGTTTCTCGCGACAAAATCGATTCGGTTCGCGGTATTCGCCAAAAACTTCTTAGCTTCGAGCTTTTCCTCAACACCTACCCAGAATGGGCGGATAAGGTTGTATTGATTCAAGTCGCAACCAGCACCACGGAACAACCAGAGCTGGAAGCGACTATTTCTGATATTGCCATGCGGATCAACTCCACACACTCAACCCTCGCTCATCAGCCTTTGGTATTCCTTAAACAAGATTTAGCCTTCCCGCAGTATCTTGCTCTCATCACTGTGGCA